TGTTGTAAAGTCTGAAGGGACGGAGCCCTTTACAAAACTTTTAAAACTAACCAACCAAAGCTCTAGGACCACATTCTCTAGGACCAATTCTTAGAATGAGAAGAGCTAAGAAACAGCTGAGTAACTGAGTATTCCCTGAAGAATATAGACAAAGGAAACAGAAAGTCCAGCTAAAATTAGGTGAAATAAACAGAGCCAAGATACCTCAGAAAGCAAGAAACTATATTTTGAACACTATGTGAAAACAGCAAAAAGAGTTTTAGAGTGTGGAGTTAGAATAGCTATTCTTAACCAAGCCTTCAAAAATCAGCAGTATGAAATAACTGTTGTCAAATCTCATACAAAGTTTTAAAGAAAAACAAGACCCTTATAGAAAATGAAAGCACACAAGAAAGGCATGCCACAAAACAGATGAAAACCATGAGATATTAGGACAAAAGACATTATGAGGATAACATGGATTTCAAAAAATCAAATTTGCATAAGAAAAATTTAAAATTAGGTGGTAGAACTCAGTATTAAATAAAATTTTTGGAAATGACCCAATTAGAAGGAACACAAGCATAAATAAATATATCAGATAATACCTTAAGAGTAAAAGAATTGAAAGGAGAAAGACATTAAAAGTAAAAAAGATAAGGCCAGGCATGGTGGCTCATGCCTGTTACTTCAGCACATTAGAGGTCGAGAAGGCAGGATTGCCTGAGTCAAGGAGTTCGAGACCAGCCTGAGGAACATAGCAAGACCTGTGTCTACAAAAAATAAAAAATTACTCTGGGAGGCGAGGTGGGTGGATCGCTCAAGGTCAGGAGTTTGAGACCAGCATGAGCAAGAGCGAGACCACGTCTCTATTAAAAGTAGAAAGAAATTAATTGGATAACTAAAAATATACAGAAAAAATTAGCCGGGCATCGTGGTGCTTGCCTGTAGTCCCAGCTACTTGGGAAGCTGAGGCAGAAGGATCACTTGAGCCCAGGAGTTTGAGGTTGCTGTGAGCTAGGCTGATGCCACGGCACTCTAGCCCGGGGAACAGAGTGCGACTCTGTCTCAAAAAAAAAAAAAAAAAATTAGCAAGGCATGACAGTGTGTGCCTGTAGTCTCAGCTACTTGGGAAGCTGAGGTAGAAGGATCACATGAGCTCAGGAGTTTGAGGCTGAAGTGAGCTATGATTGGCCCTTGCACTTCAGCTTGGGTGACAGAGTAAGACCCTGTCTCTAAAAAACAAATGAAAAAAAAAATATGAAAGATGTGTAAAAAGAATTTGATAGAAATTGACATATTGGAAATAGGCAAGGAAGACCTAACATGTATAATAGGAGTCCCCAAAGAAGAAAACCCTAGCCAGGGAACAGAACAGATACTCAAAATTACATTTTGAGACCATTTTAATGAATTACAAACAGATTTGAAACTACATTTTGGAAGAGCACGGCACATACCTGAGAACACTGACACAAATAGCAACACTGAGACATAGTCTAGAAAAATTATTGGACTTTAAAGAAAAAATAAACAACTCTCAGACATGCAGGCAGAAGTCACAAAGTCCCTTATAAGTGAAGGACAGTCAGATTATCACCATTCTTTTCAACAGCAATACTTTGAGAGAGAAGACTATGGAATATTCCATATTTAATATAGTCAAGAAAGTATGGGACACACGCCTGTAATCATAGCACTTTGGGAGGCCGAGGCGGGTGGATCGCTCAAGGTCACAAGTTTGAAACCAGCCTGAGCAAGAGCGAGACCCCGTCTCTACTAAAATAGAAAGAAAATTAATTGGCCAACTAAAATACATAGAAAAAATTAGCATGGTGGTGCATGCCTGTAGTCCCAGCTACTGTGGAGGCAGAAGCAGTAGGATCGCTTGAGCCCAGGAGATTGAGGTTGCTGTGAGCTAGGCTGACGCCATGGCACTCACTCTAGCCTGGGCAACAAAGTAAGACTCTGTCTCAAAAAAAAAAGAACCACGACTCTTCATATGGAAGACAAAGATGACTGATAAGAGGTGTATGTTTGTGTATGGAGTGGGAGGGAGTGTTAGTACCTGAGTTAGAGAAATAAACTAAAAACATTCAACTCAAGGAGGTTTAAAAAAGAACAGATAAAGCATCCTTTCACCAGGAAAAAAAGAGACCCCCAGAAGAGAAGAAATTAACAATACAAAAAAATTACAAAGCAAAACTGATGAAAGACAGATTTGACTAATAAAACAATGTAATTGGAAAGTGCAGTCAGAACAAAGAACAAAAAGACAAAATATTGGGACTAAGAAAAATTAACAAGTTCTAAGAATATGTGAGTAGTTAATTCTATAAATTTGAAAATCAAAGAAAATTAGATGTTATTTTATGGATGGGTTTTGTCAAACATAAAGAACAGGAAATTTCTTTTACTTTTTTTTTGACTCAGAGTCTTGCTCCCTTCGCCTGGGCTAGAGTGCAGTGGGATCATCATAGCTCACTGCAACCTCAAACTCCTGGGCTCAAGCGATCCTTTTTCCTCAGCCTCCCAAATAGCTCAGACTACAGGCGTGTGCTACCACGCCAGCTAATTTTTCTATTCTTTGTAGAGACAGGCTCAGTATTGCTCAGGCTGATCTTGTACTCCTGAGGCCTCAAGTGATCATTCTCCACAGCCTCTCAAAGTGCTAGGATTTATAGGAGTGAGCCACTGTGCCCAGCTAGAACAGGAAATTGCTATGTTGTTTTAATTATTTCAGAGAAACGAAATGATAGAAAGTACCTCATTTTATTTAATGAGAGGGGTAAATCTGGATATTAAAACCTAGCAATACCAAAAAGTATAGTTTCACAGATGTGTCACATAATCTTCAATTTAACCCTCCAGATCCACTCAGCATTCCTGTTCATCATAGGGGACCTTTCTGAACAACATGAATGGTTCCCTATGTCCCCTGCCTTCTATTAATAATTGGATTTGGAAATGGGGATCCCTGGCAAGGAATTGGAGGAAGGAGGAGATAAAAGTCCCGATATTTATACCTTTCTGACACTTCTGTATGTGGAAGCCTTGGGCTGATTGTGTCACTTTTCTTAAAGTCTTGGCCTTCCTTAGGGGCTTATGGGTAGTAAGAGTTTCTCTCTTGTTACTAGCCTGGGTAACTGCACTATCCCTTGTGATTCCCCTAAGCCTTACCCCACAGCTTTGTAAACAGTCTCTTTGTAAATAAACCCTCCTTAAATTAACCTAATTTGAGTGGGCCATCTGCTTCCTGTACATCCTGTGTGATACAGCAGATGAAATTAGAATTTGTGCATTTGTAGAAAATATTAAATTAAAAGATGTACTAGTTTTGACTAAGAAAACAGTACAGAAAAAATATACTGTATAAAAATACAGTATTGCAAAGTTAAGAAAAACAGCAAATTTAGAAATATTTGAACTCTAATAGAGACCATATACATTAAAAATGTATAATAGGGGTTTATATATTATTGGATTACTGTATATTAGTAGTGTTAAATTTCCTTAATCTGTGTTAAATTTCCTGAATGTGATCATTGTATTGTGGTTCTATATATATAGAAGGATGCCCTTGTTCTTAGTAGATTCATGCCACAATATTTAGAGTAGACAGCAAAAGAAATTAAGTGTGTATGTGTAAGGAAAGATGTAAAGCAAATGTGTCAATATTAATAAGTGGTGACTTGATGTTAAGATATGAATATTCACTGTTACTATTCTTGCAACTTGTTTGTAGCATCGAAAACTTCAAAATAAAGTTGGGGGAAAACACTGAAACCAAAAAATGAAATACTTATGGATAAAGAGCTTTATTAAAAATTAAGAAATACATACAATAAAATATATAGAATGCTAGTATTTGAGCAATCATTAAGGAGAAATACAGAAAGCCCTTAAACAAAAAAATGCTTGACATCAATAATAATGGAACATAAATTTAAATTAGCCGTCAATGTTCATCTATCAAAGTAGCAAAGATTTAAAAAGTGATAATGCCCAATACTGAAGGGGATGCAGCAAATTGAATAAACTTTTGACAAACTTTTGGAAGTATAACTTGGTGCCATTTTGTGTGCAATCTGGCAATATCTATGCTTTAAGTCTGTATGTTTTTTAATCAACAGCAATTTAATTTAAATGACCTAAATAAATCTAATAAGGTAATACGATAAGAGAGTAAGGCTATAGATACAGAGGTATGTTCATTGCAACATTGTTAATAATAGCAAAAACCAAAACACCACTTAACTGTCCATCAGTTGGAGGTTTGGTTTTATACACAGTAGACTACTGCTTAACTATTATTATTATTATTTTTTAAAGAGACAGGTCATGCTCTGTTGCCTAGATTGGACTACAGTGTGGATTATAGCAGTCCTGTAACTTCCTGGGCTCAAGCAATCTGCCCACCTCAGCCTCCCCAGTAGCTGGGACTACAGGCACATGCCACCACACTTGGCTAATTTTTAAATTTTTTTGTAGCGATGTTACCCAGACTGGTCTCAAACTCCTGGCTTCAAGTGATCCTCCTGCCTCAACCTCCCAAAGTGTTAGGATTACAATGTGTGAGCCACCATGCTCAAGTCTTGTTTGACTGTTAAACACAGAAGTTAATATTTTGATATGGAATGATATTCCTGATCATTACATTAAAAATAAAAGTAGGTTAGAGAAAAATATATGCAATACTATCCCATTTAAAGCATTTGCATATAATAGGCATGATTTTATGTATATTAATATTAATGTAGTTTTTGAAACCTGGTTCGGAGAGCTTCAAAAAAGGAAAATTATGAGAGAGTGGGGCTTTTGTTTTTGTTTTTGATTTTTTCCTAAAGAAATAAAGATCATGTAATAGAAAAATATAACTAAATTTCATTTTTTAAAAGTATGCACTAATTTTTCCTTTAAATATGTAAAATTTTTTGTATGTTGCTTTGTTAGTATAGTTTACTGAGTTAACAAAAAATCTATTAAGAAACTCATTTTGCTCTTGTATATTCTGTTTTCAGAGCAGTGGAAAGAGCTCAGTGCTAGAAAGCCTAGTGGGGAGGGACCTGCTTCCCAGAGGTACTGGTATTGTCACCCGGAGACCTCTCATTCTGCAGCTGGTCCATGTTTCACCAGAGGATAAACGAAAAACAACAGGAGAAGACAATGGTAAATTTCAGAATTGGGATAAGAATTATTTTAAAACTCTGTGTTTTGCTCTATTCTTAAAAATATATTAATTGATTAGACAATTAGAAATTAGTAGCGGTAGCAAAATCAGAAGTCCTGTGAAGAGAAGTACACATCTTTCTTAATGTAAAAAAAGTAATTTTTTTCAAAGGTCATGAGTAAAGTTGTTGGGGATAGTCATTTTTGAGTAATTCTACTTAGTAAGCCATTATTAATGCTGTTTAATGGAGGATCCAGTGAAACACTCAGTAAACAGGAATCAGTTATTTTAAAGAAAGTTTTTAAGTGTCTTTTGGAGTGTTTTAAAGTCCCCCCCCCCGTATTTAAAATACTGATTTGCATTGATTTAGAATTTAAGTCATTTAGAATCTAGTTGAAATATTTTATTTTAAATAAAATTAAAATGACTTTGTGTTCTAGCTTAGCAATGTTATTTTACCTTCCCTTCTCCTGGTCTTCCCATATAATTTTGATTCTTTTGCCCTTCAATCTAAGCTGAATATTATTTATGGGAAGAGTTTTAATTTTAAACTTACTGTTTTTTTTTCTGAGACTGAGTCTCACTCTATTGCCCAGGGTAGAGTGCAAGGGCACCATCACAGCTCACTACAACCTCAAACTCCTGGGCTCAAGCAATCCTCCTGCCTCAGCCTCCTGAGTAGCTGGGACTACAGGCCCAGCTACAGGCCTACTACCACATCCAGCTAGTTTTTCTATTTTTTGTAGAGATGGGGTCTTGCTATGTTTCTTAGGCTGATCTCAAACTCCTGGCCTCAAGTAATCCTTCTGCCTTGTCCTCTCAAAGTGCTATAGGAGATTATAGGAGTGAGCCACTGTGCTGGGGCTTCAATTTCTAAATTATTAGATTTTTCTCCATTCTCTTGCTAGAGTTTATCTGTATAGCACATACTATTTTGATTTTTAAATACTTATATCCCCCACTTTCCACCCCCTATCATGTTCAGAATTAGTTTACAGATAAACTCAGGCTATCTCTTTAATGGACTATATCAATAGTAAATGTGTAGTATTAAAATAAGAAAATATGCATTGTCCTTTTTAGCAGTTCTTTTTTGATTAAATTGAAAATATTTTAAGGAATGCTTTTTGTGACTATCAGCAGATTTTAAGTTTCTTATTAAATGTGTATCCTATATTAATCATACTTAAATTAGTGAGGTTTGAAATGTTTGATGAGAGTAATGTATTTCATCTTCCTGTTTAGTTCCATGTTTGGCTCAGACTTTCTGTCCTATTTATGAAAGTCTGTAAAATGTCTCTGATTATTAAATTACTTTTGCAGCAGAATACCATGTCTGTTTCTTATCTGCAGAGGTCTGTTTTCAATGCAGTTTCATTCTACTTATATTCTGATTTAAGATGGGATGATAGTATTGATGAAATTGAAGTTACTTTAATTTCTGCATCTGATTTCCTCTTTATTTACTATAGGAGCTGTTCGTGGTGATGACTTAATTTTTTTTTTTTTTTAAGGGGGGAAAAACATAATTATAAGCATCTACTGGTGACTCTGGAATATTAATCACTGGAACAAGTTAATGAAGTTGGAGATATAAATAAATAATATTTTTGGATAGATTGCCAGTGGATATGTGGGAACTTTTTGATTATATTAGGTAGCTCTTGGTGTGTTATTCATCATTTTGCATTTCTGTAACATTTCTTTATTATTGAAATTCTGAACCTTGAATTTAATCATCTTGGATTGACCTATGATTTAGCTTCAAATATGTAGAATAACACTTTTTAAATTTCATCCTCACTAACTGATTTCATCAAACAGATTTACCAAACACCTAAAACCAAGACTTTAAGGAACTGTATGGAATTAGGTCTCTTTATTTTAACTTGTCATTTTCTTCATTCACCTTGAAAGGGCAGATGATATCCTGTTTCTCAGAAACTATTTGTAAATGTGGGTATTGTTTCCTTAGATAAAATTTTGCTTATTAGAAAAGGATATTCCAGGCGTCCTCAAACTATGGCCTGTGGGCCACATGTGGGTGTTTTTGCCTGTTTGTTTTTTTACTTCAAAATAAGATATGTGCAGTGTTCACAGGTATTTATTCATAGTTTTTTTTAAGCTATAGTCCGGCTCTCCAACAGTCTGAGGGGACAGTGAACTCCCCACCCCCCCTTAAAAAGTTTGAGGACCCCTAGGGTATATATTCAGCTATAGAAGTGTCAGCTCCTTGGTATCTCTTTGCTTTTATATCCACTATGTTTTGTTGATGTCTCTTTTTGGTGGTTGGTCAGTAAATCGGCTTATCTTTACCTGTATATATATTTTTTCCAAGCTTAGTGCTTATTTTTTATATATAAATTAAAAAACTCACTTAAAATGACAGCTCAGCTACTCAGAACACAAAAGAGATTTCATAAATTTGAGTACTAAATTTCCGGTGTCTTTTTTTTTTTTTTTTGGAGACAGAATTTCACTTTGTTGCCTAGGCTAGAGTGCCGTGGCATCAGCCTAGCTCACAGCAACCTCAAACTCCTGGGCTCAAGCGATCCTTCTGCCTCAGCCTCCCAAGTAGCTGGGACTACAGGCATGCACCACCATGCCCGGCTAATTTTTTCTATATATATTAGTTGGCCAATTAATTTCTTTCTATTTAGAGTAGAGATAGGCTCTCACTCTTGCTCAGGCTGGTTTCGAACTCCTGACCTTGAGCGATCCTCCTGCCTTGGCCTCCCAGAGTGCTGGGATTACAGGCATGAGCCACCGCGCCCGGCCAAATTTTAGGTGTCTTATTCTAAGATTGTTCCTTAACCTCTCATCAGAGCCTCTTCATCCTTGGCATAAATCATTGTAACCCAGAGGAAAGTAGAAAGCATGAAGCAGATAAACATATATTAATAATTACCTAGAAGAGAATGAACTACCTGACAGCCTGACAATGAGAGAGGAGAAAGGGAGGAAAAATAACTAGACAGAAGAACTTTCAAAAAGAAAAAATCAGTCACTCCATTTTGTATAGGGATATAGCTCATGAGAGCTTTGTTATGTAAACAAAGTCCTAATTATGAAAAATGTTAAGAGTAGTGCATTCTAAGATGACATGGAGAAGTGTAATCGTTTAGATGCAGATCCATCAAAACTGGCTAAAATAAGATATTTTAGTGTTTAATATGAGTAACTTAATTATCAGAAATTTATTTAGCATGTAATTTTTCATTCTGCCAACTATGTGGGATAATTGAGGTGTCAGTATGTAGATTTATGGTGTTCTTACCTTGACCCCTCCTATTTCTGCCAATGTAAAAAAAATTTCTGTTAAATTCCTATTAAAAACAAAACTGCCGGGCGCGGTGGCTCACGCCTGTAATCCTAGCACTTTGGGAGGCCGAGGCGGGCGTATTGCTCAAGGTCAGGAGTTCGAAACCAGCCTGAGGAGACCCGTCTCTACCAAATAGAAGAAATTAATTGACCAACTAAAATATATATACAAAAATTTAGCCGGGCATGGTGGCGAATGCCTGTAGTCCCAGTACTCGGGAGGCTAGGCAGGAGGATCGCTGAGCCTGGAGATTGAGGTTGCTGTGAGCCAGGCTGACGCACGGCACTCACTCTAGCCTGGGCAACAAAGTGAGACTCTGTCTCAAAAAAATAAAATAAAAAATAAAAAAAAAAAAACAAAAAACAAAACTAAGGCTGGGCACAGTGGCTCACACCTATAATCTCAGCACTTTGGGAGGCTGAGGCAGGAGGATCGCTTGAGCACAGGAGTATAAGACCAGCCTAGCCTGGGCATTACAGTGAGACCCCCATCTCTACAAAAAAATTAGCAGGGCGTGGTGGCATACACCTGTAGTCCCAGGTACTCTGGAAGCTGAGGCAGGAAGATTGCTTGAGCCCAAGAGTTTCAGGTTATAGTGAGCTATGACCATGCCGCTGTACTCCAGCCGGGACAACAGTGAGACCCTGTCCCCCTGCAAAAGTAAATTAAGTAAAAAAAACCCCAAACTATGTTTTAGAGGGGGTAGTGGTTTAGTTTGAATTTTGAAATCTACTGTTATCTTTCATATATTTGTAAGAAATAAGTCAAGCTTTTTCTCAGATTTCTTTTTAGACAAAGTCCAAAAATAGCATGCTGATTAAAGACAAAAATTGTACTATACATTATACCTGTGGACAGTGTTAGTTGAAACCTGGAAATTTATAAGAACAGAATTTATTTTCGGGATAAAAAAGTTGTTGAACTAAAGCAAACGTGTTTTCGTTTGTTTTCTTTTTTTAAATCTATATGTTTCATAGAATAATGCTTAAAAATCTGGGTATAATTTGAATTTGTATCCCCATTTAGTTAAATTACTTGTAAAAGCATTAGTTGCTCCCAAAATGCAGTAAAATTATACATAAAATTATACATAATTATACTTAAAATTATACATAAAATTAAAAGAAAATGGTAGGATCAATCTTTCTGCATAAAGGACTGTGATACAAATAGTAGTCTCCCTTTGAATTGAGTCCATGAAGGTGTAAAGTTAACTGTCTGTGGTGTACTCTTTAATTCCATATATATTTCAAAGAAAATCTCCTTATAAAGCTCAGTCTTAGCTAATGAGACAAATACTTGTGTATATTTATTAACTCTGGAAAGATTTGAAAGATGTATTTAGTATATTTTGTAGATCCTCTTTTTTTAATCAGGCAATTTATCTTTTCCCATAGTAGGTTATCAGATATCCCAGGCAAATTTTTGAATAGTGGATTAATTGTAAACCATTTGTGTCAGAATTAGAAACAATGGTGACATAACTAATTGTAACAGGAAATTTGTTTTCTAAAAATAAATTATGGCACACAATATGCTTTGCTTCTATCATTTAAAATATTATATACATCCCTCTAATTCAAGCTGTAAATTCTAAATAATTGAATGCTATGTGCATTTGAAATGTGATCAGGTTTCTGCACATTTGATTTTTTTAAAAACGTTCAAAATTTTAGGGATAAGCACTAAACTTATTCTGTGCTGTTTCTCTTTAAATACAGACCCTGCTACATGGAAAAACTCAAGACACCTTTCTAAAGGTTTCCTTTATCCATTTGTTTTTGGCCCTTTTTCTTTTATGCCTGCATGTGTGCTTATGTACTCTTACAGGCTGTGTGCATTTTTTTTCCTTCCATTTTTATTTGCCTATCCACATTGATTGCAGGTTTTAGTGGTTCTTGTTACTTATTTATTTTTTTGGCATTGTATCAAAATACAAGCTTTTTTGGTCATGAATGTAATTTATTTTATTTTTATTTTTAAACACATGCTTGTGAAGCTAGGCCTCTTTTATATATTAAGGTAAATTAAAAACACTCCTGTAGTATGTAGTACCTGCCTTTGTAAGTTCTGTTCACCTAGATTACTCCAGTCCTCCAATGAGACTTCTTGGAAGAAGGTACTAAGCTTCAAGTAGGTGAGCATTTTTCTTGGAAAAAGGATCCAGTTTTATCTACCTTTATTCCACCAAAGATTTGATCCACCTTTTCCTCAATAAATATTTATCTGAATATCTTAGAGTCATTTTTATTTTGATTTCAGGTGGCCAATATGTATTATTCAATAAACTTAATCATTAAATCATTGTCAAGGTCTCTGAATTTGGTAAAAGCAAAGTTAGATTACCTTTCTACAATTAAACATTTCTAGTTTCTCTGGGATAAACAGAACAAAACTTGCTGTCTAAATTTTAGACTATTTCACATAGTGCAGATAGTGAATATATTTTCCTTTTCGCAGCAAATGCAAGAGGAACAGACCTATGACTGGAAACTAATGGAGAGTAGGATAACTCCATACAATGTATACCAGGGTTTTTGGGTTTTTTTTTTTTTTTTTTACTGTTCCTCTATTTGCTTTCTTTTCTACCTTCAGTTCTAAGGGAAAACACAGTCTTCACTCTGGGGGGAAAATCACCTTTAAAGTGTATGTAAATTTACAAAGCAGCTAGCTACATAATACTGAAAGAGCTCTTTAAAGGAATAGCAAGTTGTGACTTTATAGGTAATAAAAGCTGAAAAATTCGCTGTTTCATTCACATATTGCAAATTTTTACCTTGAGTTATGTATGCAAATCTGTTATACAAGCTTTTTGCATTACTCAGAATTCTTAATTTTTCTTCTTAGCCATTAACTTAATTGAGTACTTCCATTAAAAAAGCTGCTTTTATGTGTATGATGTTTAAAAAGAAAGAATATACCTTTTACTGTAATATAATTACATATAAAACAGGAAGAAAAGTAAACAATTTATTTGTAAAATCTAGATTTCAAATGGTGAGAAGACCTGTGAGCATCTCTACCTAAAGTTAGTCATGTTTTTGAAATACATAATACAATATTTAAAATGTGAAAAATATAATTTAGCAGACCTTAAAACACTTGTTAACATGTAGTTAATGGCAAAATAGAAACAAATAACAATTTATTATGTTGCCTTTTTCAAATCCTAACTAAAGATAAAAAGTGATTTCCATAGTTTCCAATAAATGAGTTTTTCTTTTTCTAGGGGTGGATGCAGAAGAATGGGGTAAATTTCTTCACACCAAAAATAAGGTAATCACACACAAATATAATGAAGAAATAATATGTTAAAAATAATATTTTGTACAAGTAGTTGGTAACTTAGTTTCTTATCATTGGCAATATGTTATTTTGAAGCAACTGTTCCTTGTAAGATATTAATACATGTTATCTTAGTAACATTTCTAACCATGATAGTTTATTTGGAAAACACTTGAAGTTGAGCCCAATTCTCTCCAATTTAATTATTCTTAACTGTTGTGGGATCAGGCAGCTTTGCTCATAAAAACTACAGATTCTTAGCTCAGAAAAATATATGTATACATTATAATTTGTTTACTAATTCTCTGAAGCAAATCCATAGACATCCTTGAAATATATGGACACTCACTCAACCTAAAAACTTTTGATCTTATTTTGAATATTGTGCTTTTCATTTCAATAATTTTTAGCTTTACACAGATTTTGATGAAATTCGACAAGAAATTGAAAACGAAACAGAAAGAATTTCAGGAAATAATAAGGTAGGCATCTTTTTAGAGCTGGCATAAACATCAGTAAATGTATCATTGAAGTGTTCCGTATGTAATGTGTGAAGGGCATTGTAAAATTCATAGTCTTGGTCTTTGAAACAAATATTTTCACACATACATAGAAACTTTGCTTAAAAACTTTTGTTTCTTAGAGCTTTTATAATATATCAGATATTTAATATTTCATTTAGGTGTTTATTCTTAATCCTGTCATGTATATACAACTTTATTATATAATTATTCTACTTAATATTGCTATAATAAGTTATCTTTTTCTGATGGATTGATTGTATTCTCAGGAAGTATTATATAACTTATGAGATATATGTATTTTGAAGAGTTCTTTTTCTTGTCTGAGTAAGGCTAGATTTATTTATGAAAGCAAAGAAAGAAAAATTAGGTGTTTTTTTTTTTTTAGTGAAAATGAAGAGTAATATGTTAGCAACTGATTACTTTCTTATTTTAAGATTGTGAGAATTTAAAATAAATTAGGTGTCCTAGATGCTGTTAATGTTGACACCAGCCACTCTCCCTGCCTTACCTAAATCCTTGTTTTTTCTCTTCTTTCTTTATTCCCATTCCTTTTCTCTTTACATGTTTAAATATACATTTCTTTCAATTTACATTTCCCTTCCTTTTCATTTTTCCCTCCATTGTTACATTATCCAGAGGCACATTTAATCCCACAAATAGGTTCTAGCCTAGTAGTAAATTTGACAACTATTTATTGAGCCCTTGTATCTGCTAGGCACTGTGCTACAGAGGTTATTTCCTGACAAATAGGCATTTTTGGAGCCATATATAAGTATTTATGCCTATTCAGGATATTTGTCACTGTTTTAGTAACTGAGCTTTGTTCATTATTGAACTCTAGGCTGGGTAACCTTTGAGTTACTGCTATTGCTGCCATACTTCCCTGAAATAACCCTGTTGTGTAGAGGGGGTAGAAAAGTGTCCAGAAACTAGATTAGCTTGTCCTCAGTCCTATAATTATATTAGGGATAGTACTGGCTTTTGTAATGTTATTAGTCATAACTCCAGTCTGAATTGTCTGTCCTGCAGTCTCCATATATTTAGTGAACGCAGCAATTGGTGGTGGTAGTTTTACACAGTACTAGAATTTAAAGAGTATGTAAGACTGATGATTCAGAAATGAGAAGTTTAGTTACACTGACTGAATGTCATTAAAGATCGAGTCTATGTACCTATAAGATGTTTAATTTATGCTAAGGATATAACTTACTTACCTAGCACCTTTTCATCCATAGCATCTAAAAGACAAAACATCCCCCAACCCCCAGTCTTTGAAAAAATCTCTTCTTTCCTAAATCATGTTTGTAATGAAGTAAATGGTACTTCAGGCTGGGTGTTGTGGCTCACGTCTGTAATCCTAGCACTCTGGGAGGCTGAGGCAGGATGATCGCTTGAAGGCAGGAGTTCAAGACCAGCCTGAGCAAGAGTGAGACCTGTCTCTACTGAAAAAAAAAAAAAAAAATTAGGTGGACAACTAAAAAGAGAAACAAAATATTAGCCGGGCGTGATGGCAAGCGCCTATAGTCTCAGCTACTTGGGAGGCTGAGGCAGGAAGATCGCTTGAGCCCAGCCAGGAGTTTGAGGTTGCTGTGAGCTAAGCTGACTCCACAGCACTCTACCCAGGGCAACAGAGTAAGACTCTGTCTCAAAAAAAAAAAAAAAAAAGTAAACGGTACTTCAATCTTATGTATTAATATATATTTTTTTAATGTCTGAATGTATAAATGATTTCATATGCCTAACATAAAGCCCTGAAGGATTTAAAATATCTGAGATTGGAGTTGTAAAAGCATTTGGGCAAAGCTTTGTATTGGACATGGTAGGAGAATGCCATGGCAATAAAGATCCTGAGAAATATATTATACAATCTAGGTAGATAATGCCAGATATTGACATTTAATGGCTCTGTAACACTAGAGTGTTTAAAATGGAAAAGTAGTTCAGAGTAATTGAATATGGCAAATGTAATTATATAGAGAACGTGGAGTAAAAGATGTTCCAAAAAAGCTTCCTGGAAAATCAGAATTTTCAGTGGGTTAATGAGGGAAAATATAAGGAGGATAAATAGATGAGAGGACATATTAAGGGATAAAGAAGGGCATGTACAAAGACAAGGTATGAACATTTCCTAAGTGTCTTTTACATGTAGCTGACTAATTCCTAAGACTTTTGGGGGGCTAATGGTGAAGAGTCTATGCAACAATCTTTGTCTACAGGAGAGAAAATACATGTATCTCTCACTATCCAAATTCTTACTATTTGGATTCAGGGATCTAAAGATTCAGATAAATTTTCTGAGGAATCCCTTAATATACATACTCTTGCCACTTGATATTCAAAGATCAGGAACCAGATTGATTTGGATAGCTTGTTTTCTTTCTATGCCTCACTCTCTGAACTCAGGAGCTGCATAAATTCGGATAGTGAGGAATATATTATTTTTTTTGTTCAGCTACTAATGCTATTAAACATATTTAAGAAGTGGTATATGCTTAGACTCAAGAGAAAAGACTGTGAAATAATATAGGGGAAATAAATTATGGTATAGGGATTGGTAGGATTATAATGTGTCATATGGCTGGGTGATGTATTTCATCAGGTTTTTTTTTTGTTTTTTTTTGAGACAGAGTCTCGCTTTCTTGCCTAGGCTAGAGTGAGTGCCATGGCGTCAGCCTAGCTCACAGCAACCTCAAACTCCTGGGCTGAAGCGATCCTCCTGCCTCAGCCTCCCGAGTAGCTGGGACTACAGGCACGAGCCATCATGCCCGGCTGATTTTTATATATATATTAGTTGGCCAATTAATTTCTTTCTATTTTTATGGTAGAGACGGGGTCTCGCTCAGGCTGGTTTTGAACTCCTGACCTTGAGCAATCCGCCCGCCTTGGCCTCCCAGAGTGCTAGGATTACAGGCATGAGCCACCTCGCCTGGCCTTTCATCAGGTTTTGATTACTAAAAAGCTTTAGGGATCATGGATTTAAAAGCATCTAGTATCTATTTACTTGAAATGAGGTTTACTTTAGCATTTCATATTGTATTGAAATTTTAATGTGATTTTAATATTTTAAAACTTATTTTTAGGGAGTAAGCCCTGAACCAATTCATCTTAAGATTTTTTCACCCAGTGTTGTCAATTTGACCCTTGTGGATTTGCCAGGAATGACCAAGGTAAGGAACAGTTGTTAACTCATTATGGATTTGGTCATGTTGTGTTCACTTGAACAAATGTGGTTCTTCCTTGACACCCCATATGAGAATAATCAGCTTCTTTGTGCAGTCACAGTCTATTAGCAGCATTTCATATTGTTTAGCTTTTTTCCTTGAAACACTTTCTTTACTTAGCTTCCAGGATACCACATTCTAGGTTTATCTCCAGTCTCATTGGCCACTCCTTTTCAATCTCTTTTGCTGTTTCTTCTCATCTCCCTAATGTCTAAACAGTAAGTGCCCCAGAGTTCAGTTTGTGGACCTCTTATCTTCTCTTGATGATTTCATCAGATTTTATGGCTTTAAATACATTAGTGTCTGTATACTGATGGCATTAAAATATCTTCAGTCTTGTATATCCAACTGTCTATCTGACATATACACTTAAGTGTGTAACAGGCATTTCATCTTGATATGTCTAATACCAAATCCCTAACCTGTCCCTCAGCTAGGTTTGATCTTTCTATAGTCTTTCTCCTTCTTAATAAGTGGCAACTCCATTCTACCAGTTGCTTAGCCAAAAAGTCTGTAGTCGCCCTTGACAATTGCCACTTCCTGTCAGCAAATCCTCTTGTCTTTCCTTACCTTATAGTATATTCAGAATTCTATCATGTGTTACAGTTTCATAGCTTTTATCCTGATCTACCCGCTGTCATCTCACCTGGATTACTGCAATAATAATAGATAATAGGATAAATAACAGGCCTTCTTCATTGTCTTGTCTTAGCAGCTAGCGCTATTAAAGTGAAAATTTAAATTGTATCATTCTTTGGCTCAAAACCTCTTCCATTTAACTCAGAGTAAAGGCCTCCGTTCTTACAGAATTCTAAAATGTCTACTTCATAGGTCCTTATTATTTTTCTCCTAACTCCTTCTGCTTTAGCCTCTTGGCTCTTATTATTCACTCTGCCTAGAATGTTCTGCCTCCAGATAACTGTATATATCTCTCCCCTATTGCCCTTAATTTCTGCTCGTTGTTTCAAATGTCAGTTGTCTCAGTGAGATCTTCCCTGATTACTCTATTTAAAAACATTATCTCATTAGAAATAATAATTTAAAATCACAACCCTCTCTAATCATTCCCTAGCCTGCAGATGTGCTTTATTTTACCACAGCCCTTACCACCACCTGGATACTATATATGTATATTATCTGCCTTTCATCATTAAAACATAAGCTCTGTGATGGCAAGAATTTTGGTCTTTTTAAATTCACAACTGTTAAATAATCTGTCATGACCTGAAGTCAGGTTTAGATGAGTGCCTGAAATGTAGTAAATTGCCAATAAACACTTGATAATTGAATAAATGAAATTTGTATCTAGGCAATTAACATTGCACAATCCTTAATATGGGATTGTTAAGTAAATTTTTACACAAAAGTAAACTTTTGATATTTGCAAGTTATATTTTGAGACTTCACGTACTACCAAATTCACAAATACCACTATAGTATATTGTTAATATCTTTAACTATTTGTATATGGAGAAATATCTATATTCTGTGGATTAAATGTGGGGAAAAAAAAGCTGAGTTGATTTTTATTATTAGTTCCTTGCTCATCTCTGTTTGGTTTAGGTGCCTGTAGGTGATCAACCTAAGGATATTGAACTTCAAATCAGAGAGCTTATTCTTCGGTTCATCAGTAATCCAAATTCCATTATCCTCGCTGTCACTGCTGCTAATACAGACATGGCAACATCAGAGGCACTTAAAATTTCCAGAGAGGTAGATCCAGATGGTAAGGACAGATGTTAATATTTAATGAGATACTTGATTTACAATGGTAAATCTAACCTCAAGGAAGAATTTTTACTTTTAAAAGGAATATCTCCTATTGTTAATACAAATTTAAAAATAATGCTTTCCTGTTTTGTTGATAATTTTAAATATAAATTCTGATGGAAATAAAAGTTATTAAATTGTTATACAGGCTAGGCAAAAATATTTCACATGACAGTATTTTTAATGGTTACCTAATGATTTAAAAATAATAATATGGCTTTGCAAAAAGGTTTGCTTATTTTCCTCCCCTCTCATCCCCCCCACTCCTCTTTTTGACACAGTCTTGCTCTGTTGCCTAGGCTAGAGTTCTGTGACGTCAGCCTGGCTCACAGCAACCTCAAACTCCTGGGCTCAAGTGATCCTCCTGCCTCAGCCTCCCGAGTAGCTGGGACTACAGGAATGTGCCACCACACCCAGCTAATTTTTTTCTGTTTCATTAGAGATGGGGTCTTGTTCTTGCTCAGGTTGGTCTCGAACTCCTGAGCACAAGGGATCCTCCCGCCTCTGCCTCCCAGAGTGCTAGGATTACAGGCGCGAACCACTGTGCCCTGCCTGATTTAGGTTTCTGATTGGCTGACTTTTAAGAAAAAAATAACAGGCTGTGGCTGCTGTGGCTCATACCTGTAATCCCAGCACTTTGAGAGGCTGAGGCGAGGATCATTTGAGGCCAAGAGTTTAAGACCAACCTGTGCAACATAGCAAGATCCCGTCTTTATAAAAATAAAAAAAAAATAGGTGCAGTAGCTCAAGCCTGTTTTCCTAGCTACTCAGAAGGCTGAGATAGGACCATTTCTTTCTTTTTCTTTTTTTTAATTTTAAACATACTTTTTTCTTTTTCTATCATGTTGGCTAATAGTTAAAAAAAAGGACCATTTCTTGATCCCAGGAGTTTGGGGCCAGCCTGCACTATGTAGACTCTCTTAAAAAAAATAAAGAAAAAAGAAAGAGATAACTCTCACAGTAGATAATCACTGTAGATTATTAGTGTACAGTGGAGAATTATGATATTTACATTCTGAGATAGAAAATATTTAGACATGCTCAAGGCACAGGGGATTCTGAGAAATAAAGATAAAAATCCTTTTATGAAGCATTCACAACCCCAAGGATTAGTTTATACTTTGGCGTCACTGATACCTAACTAATGATATGTGCATCTCTTAGTATATATAAAATGCTAGCTTATAAGAAGAGTGGTTACTATTGCTGCTAATAAATGTATGCTTTGCTCCATAAAGTAACTTTTTATAAGCTCTTTTACTACATGAGTAATTAATGTTCATTTCAGTTAGATTAAATATCTGAGGGTTTATTTAAATTTTTTTATTTCAAGTAAACTGTTAATGCAGTTTATATGTATTCTATTTTAAACTGACCCTTGAGAAAGCCATAAATGTGGTCATACTTTTGATCTACTAATCTTAATCTAGTCATACTTAGTAAGGAAATAATCTACCCCGGTATTATTTATAGTATCAAAAATTAAACAACTTAGTATGGCCAGCAGTAGGAATGATTAAGTAAATTAAAATAATAAAGTATGAAATAAAAAGGATTTTGTAGGTTTGGAGCAATGTAGAAAAATGCTTATAGTTGAAAAATACCATAGGCAAAATTGTGCACTATGCAGAGCAGCTGGAACTCTCCTATATCGCTGATGGGAATGGTGTTAGCCACTTTGGGAAACAATTTGGCAGTTTCTTATAAAGTTAAATCAGCAATCCCACTCCTAGGTATTTACTCATGTTAAATCAGAATCTATGTTCATATAAAAAATTATATGCAAATATCTATAGCAGCTTTATTCACAATTTCCAAAAACCTTGAAACCACTCAAATATTTCTCAGATGGGGAATGAATAACCAAACCACACTACATTCCATACAATGGGACACTACTCAGCAATAAAAAAAATGAACTCTTGATGGTCATCAGCAATATGGATAACTGTTAAATGCACTATGCTAAATGAAAGAAGCTGGACTGGAAAGGCTGTGTATTGTATGATTCCATTTAAATAACATTCTAGAAAAGGCAAAACTATGAATGGCAAACAGGGTTGATTGGTTAAGCATAGGAAAGTTTGGGGGGACAATGTCTTGAGGTGGTAGCAACGTATCTCTTTATGTTTGTCAAAACTCCTAGGACTATACATCAAAAAAGAGCAAATTTAAAACAAAAATTTTTTAAACCTTATTAAATAGCCGTAGGAGCTAATAAAAAAATTACATGTGAAAACAATTTTTTAAGTTGTATTTTTAAGTTGTATACAATTTTTTAAGTTGTATACAATGTTTAAAATTATTTTTTGAAAAGTACTTGTAAACAAAGGTTAAGAGAAACATTATCAGGCTGGGCGGTGGCTCACACCTGTAATCCTAGAACTTTGGGAGCCCAAGGCAGAGAATCACTTGAGGCCAGAGTTCGAGACCATTCTGAGCAACACAGTGAGACCCTGTCTCCACACACAAAAAAGAAAAGTATTACTAAAATGATCTCAGAGGTAATGTTAGATAGGATTATTATAGATGAGGAGTTTTCTTTATTAGTACGTAATGGCTTTATTTATTTATTTATTTATTTATTTTGCATTTATCAGGTCGCAGAACCCTGGCCGTAATCACTAAACTTGATCTCATGGATGCGGGTACTGATGCCATGGATGTATTGATGGGAAGAGTTATTCCAGTCAAACTTGGAATAATTGGAGTAGTTAACAGGTTAGCAATAAAGAATGAAATAAGAATTGTGGCATTCTCATTTCAAAGCAAGTCTGAATTTCTTAAATGTCTGAAAGGTGATGTCCTATTTTTCCACCTTTTATAATAATCTTGGTATTGCTAAAGAATCCATTGCTCTAAAGGGAGAAAAGGGATTCACTAAAGCCTCCCATAGACATTTTTAATGGAAAATGTTTCTAAAATTATTAATAGCAGTGTCACAAAATGGAAGATAATAGCCAGGCTTTCAGAATTCTTGCCTGTTATATTAAGCTATGTATGAGGTGGCACTGGCTAAAGAAAAAAACAGTATTATCTAATTTGTACCCACTGAAGAAAGAGTTTAAGGTGGTAAGATTTTAATAGATAGGTTTATCTCTTAGCATTAGTGATTCTGTGTAATTGCCAGGATGTGACCTAGAGAAATTATAATAAAGGTATCCTAATTATAAATAGTTGGTATTAAAAGTTGGGGAAAGGAAACTATTATTGAATATCTAATTATGTTTTAGACACTCTACTGTGAGCAATTTGCAAATGGTATCTCTTGGAATCTGAGGTAGGTGGTGATGTCTATATTATAATCAGAAAACTCCAGTTACTCATTTACCAAAGTCATATGACTAGTCAAAGGTAGAGTTGGATTCAAAGGAAGATCTTTCTTAGTCCAAAGCCTTTATGTGATAAGAAACATTGAAATTATCACAAGATCTGGGTTCTAGTCCCAATTCTTCCGTAAACTACATGCAATGTGGGTTATAAATGACACTTAACATCTCTGGGTTTCAAGCTTTTTAAAATGAAAATGTTTTACTGTGTGATACCTAAGATCCATTCCAGCTGTCTGCTTCTATTGATATGCCCTTTCATCCTACTCTTACTCCTACTTTTTTCCCCCAATTCCAACTCTCTCCTTTTTCAGGCAAGCAGGTGATATAACACTGTTGTATTTGTAGGTGATTGCTCTTCAAGTTAACTTTATTTTTGGTAGAAATTAGTTGCCTGCCCATAAATATACACTTGATTAAGATACACTTATATATTTTTGCACCTGTGTATAGGTGTTACTTAAGAGTACTGCTTTTGTCTACTACCATTAACTATGGTTAATGGTAGTTAATGGTAGTAATGAGGCTTAAACTATTCAGTCATTAATTACTTATAAGTCACATGGTTCAAATCTTGGCTGTGCCACTTAATTTGTTACCTTGGGTAAGTTAATCTCTCTGAGCTTCAGTTCCTTGCTATAAAATGGTATAATAATGCCTATCACATAGAATTATTGAGAGAATCAAATAAAACAGTCCATGTTAGGTATTAGGGGACAATGCATAGTGCTATTATCATCATAAATTTTAGGCTATCATCACTACCATCCCTGTTATCATCTAAGATAGGGAGAGAACAACAATTAACTGAATAGTTTTATTATTTTTCTACCTTAGGAGCCAGCTAGATATTAACAATAAGAAGAGTGTAGCTGATTCAATCCGTGATGAATATGCATTTCTTCAAAAGAAATATCCATCTCTGGCCAATAGAAATGGAACAAAGTATCTTGCTAGGACTCTAAACAGGTAAAATTTTTTTACCCTATAGAAATGAAATGGTTTTGTTTTGCCAATAGGTGTCTGAGATCTTTCATTTTCAGTTCCTTACCTTTTCATACTGTTCCTTACATTTACTGTTTCACTTTTGATTTCTTGTATAGTATAGTATACAAGAACATAGCATAATATTAATATGTTCTTATAAAGCAGATGTCTCTATTTTTATTGGAGTGGTTGATATTAAATTATCATGTAGACTAGAATGAATGCTCAAGTGAATTTTACAATGTTTTAATTATGAAATTTTTGACAGTCAATTTGAGGGTAGAACTAGGTGGCAGATGACTTCATTTCCACTTTGGATTTCAGGAACTGAATTAAAATTTATTATTTTCACATGATCTATTCTTAATTTAGAATGTCTTCTGTTCCTATTCATAGTAGAAATGATTTAAATTATATACTTAAATTCTGAATACCCATTGATAGAATAGGGACTAGAATTCCTTCTAGAAGATGTATAGATGACTGAAGTGAAAGCCATTGTCTCTTATTTTTTATCTTATTCTCTAAATTAAAGACGGATAAACTTGGATCTTAATAAGATTGATTTTTCACTATGCTAGATACTCATTGTAAAAGATAAGTCAGTGAAACCAAAATTATATAGGAGTGGCTTATTTCTTTTATATTCTTTGCAATAATATAAAAATAATTTGCATTTTTTTCATTTTATATTCGGTTCTTTGACATTTGTTACAATTAATGGGTTGAAAACAAATTTAAAAAGCATTGACCAAAACTGGTTCCTTCATGTCATTTTTTTCAGACTAAGTATTTACCTCTAAGATTGCATTATTTTCTGCTCTTGTAATTTAGGAAAAACCAACCAAAGTGTTTCTTTCCTATTCTCACGCAGTCAGTTACTCAATATGGCACAGAATGCTTCCGACACCAGATGTCAGATGGGGATTTTTTCCCCCATACACAAGGCAAGCAGTTCTTCAGTGGATTCTAAAGAGATGTCCTCTAATTCAATTCAGTTCTAACACCATTTACCTGCAGATAGTGTCAGCTCCCACAGATTGAGGGTTCAGTCCCACAAGACTGCCCCCTTACCTCAGAGACCAGTCACAGACACGGGTTGTAGCTTGTGCTTCTGACCAACTGGCTATTAATTGGGGTTAACCATGACTCCCTGCTCAGGTTCAATAAATTTGTTACAGTGGCTCACAGAATGCAAGGAAACACTTTACTTATGTTTGACCATTTATTATAAAAGATACTACAAAGGATAAAGATGAACAGCCAGATGGAGAGATGCATAGGGCAAGGAATGTGGGAAGGGGCTTGAAGCTTTTATGCCCTCTCTGGGCATGCAGTCCACCAGGAACCTCCATGCTTTGCTGTTGCGAAGTTTCACAAACTCTGTCCTTTTCAATTTTTATGTAAGCTTCATTACATAGGCGTGATTGATTTGGTCATTGGCCATTGGTGATCTGCTCAACCTTCAGCCTATCTCTCATCCCCAGAGATTGGAGGGTATTGCTAAAAGCCCCAACCCTTTAATCATGCCTTAGTCATTCTGGTGACCAGGCCCTATCCTACAGCTATGTTGGGGACCCCAGCTACCAGTCATCTCATTAGCATACAAAAGACACTTATTACTCTGGAGATTCCAAGGAATTTAGGAGCTGAGTGCCAGGAAAAGGAGACAAAGACCAAGTGTATATTTGACAGTATCATACCTGCCAAGACAAATTCATTGACAGGTTTCCCCTATTATTTGCGTGTTAAAAATTTGACTTGTTTGGGGCTTCAGAGTACACAATTTTACTTTAAAATCCTTCCTTTCTAACTTGTTAGGTTACTGATGCATCACATCAGAGATTGCTTACCAGAGTTGAAAACAAGAATAAATGTTCTAGCTGCTCAGTATCAGTCTCTTCTAAATAGCTACGGTGAACCTGTGGATGATAAAAGTGCTACTTTACTCCAGCTTATCACCAAATTTGCTACAGAATATTGTAACACTATTGAAGGAACTGCAAAATATATTGAAACTTCAGAGCTGTAAGTAAGAAATTAATTTTTCTGTAGATTTGGTTTCCGGGATTGCTGGGTCATTTTATCATTTAAGTAACTTTAGCTGAAGTTATCTGATTGTGACTTATTTTCTATAAAACAGGACTATCATTTTGTAGAAATGATAGGATGATGTCTGGTATGTATGTAAAAATGCTTTATAAGCTATGTAAAGCACAGTAAAAATTTCAGATATTTTAAAAACTATTTTAATTGATAAGCATTTAAAAATATTTCTTAATTCTAAAAAATGTTACTTTAATATACACAATATAATTGTTCATGAAACATAAGAAAATGCAGATGAGTAGAAATAAAACATAAGCCCTGAATTATACAGTGGTGCAAGCCTGTAGTCTCAGCTACTCAGGAAGCTGAGGCAGGAGGATCCCTTGAGTCTAGGAGTTTGAGGCCAGCCTGGGCTACATCTTGATATCCTGTCTCAAACAAAAAAAAAGGTTGGCATTGACCTAGACATTTTTCTCTGCATCTGTAAAACAAATAAATGTCTGTTACCCATAATTCCTAAAGTTTGACATTGACCTAAACATTTTTATATGCATCTATAAAACATAAATGCCTGTATTATATACATCTTTAAAAATCAGATACTATACTTGCTATTTTGTGATAATTTTTTTACATGTCAAAATAACTTTCTAATATTATACATTACATTGTCATTCTGAATATCAGCATAGTATTTTACTTTTTGGTATACTCTCATTGGTTAAACCAGTCCCCTACTGTTGGATAGTTTGTTTTCAATTGTACACTTACATAAACAGTGTTGTATGTTGCACCTATCTCTGGGCATTGTATTACTCTGATGATAAATTCCTAGAAATAGAATTACTAGATTAAAGGGCATAAATGCTCAAAGTCTTTCATTACATATTGCATACTATTCACATTTTGTACTGTTTTACTAATAGTAGAATGTCTATTTCTCTACACCTTTATTTTTTAAAAAGGCTTTTTTTTTTTTTTTAAATAATTATAGACTAATAGGAAGTTGCAAAAAAATGTACAGAGAGGTCCTGGGTACCCTCCAACCCACCTCCCCCACTGTTGACATCTTGTATAACTATAGTACAATAACAAAATGAAAAAAATGGATATTGGCACAATCCATAGAGCTTATTCTGATTTCGCCAATTTTACATGAACTCATTGTGTGTGTGTGTGTGTGTGTGTGTGTGTGTGTGTATTTGTGTAGTTCAGTGTACCTTAGCATGGCCCAGGTAGTCTTTCATATGTGTTAACTTCATAGAGAAAGTATTTAACAAACTAATTATTGAATTAGTATTATACATATGGCATATTGAGGGAAATAAAGATTACTACAATGGGCCTTTAAGGAGTTTAGTAAGTAAGGTAGGTCAAGGCAATACGAGGCATGATTAGGCGGCAAAAGTATAATTGTTTTATTTGAACACTTCTTCTTGTTAAATATAATACATATCCAGAAAAGTGCATGTAACATATATGGACCGTTTTGTAAATAGTTAATAAATTAATTATCTGTGTCTACCTAATCAAGCTTTTAGGACATTGAGGAGAGACTATTTACATTTATTTCAGGGATTGGGAGAACTTCATTCAGTTATTTAGAGAAGGGAAGGTTGGAGGCAGAGAGACCAATTACTGGTAATTTTAACCAGATTTAAGTGCATAATTCAGTGACATTAATTACATTCACAGTTTGTACAACCATCACTAGTATCTACACACAAAATTTTTTACCACCGCAACAGAAACTCTGTACCTATTAAGCAATTAATTACTCCCTGTGCTTCTCTCTCCTAGCCCCAGTAACCTCTAATTTACTTTCTGTCTCTATGAATTTGCCTATTCTAGATATTTCATGTAAGTGGAATCACACAATATTTGTCCTTTTTTGCTTATTTCAGTTAGCATAATGTTGGACTAGAACCTTTTGTCTGAACTACTATAAAAAAGTTTTGGATAGTGGTGGTAAAAATAGAGAGGAGAAGGGATGATTTGGGGAGATATCCATAAAGATATTTGTAGAATTCAACTGGACTTGAATAAAAAAAAAAAAAGATAGCACTAGGGTTTTCAGTTGTCAAACAAGGTAGGAAACACAAGGTACTTAGTATGTAAGTCAAGAGATTTAAGCAGGTAGAAAACAGCCCACCAGTTAAGAATGATTTTTACACTGTAAATGTAAAAATGAAAAAAAATTCAAAGAAGAGTATTTCATGACATGAAAATTATATAAAATATAAAATTCAGTATGCATAAGTTTTATTGGAACACAGCTGTGCTTATTTGTTTACATATATATTATCTATGGCTGCTTTTGTTGAATAGTTACAACAGAGACCATATGGCCTGCAAATATTTACTGAAATATTTGCTCTCTGGCTCTTTACAGAGAAAGTTTGCTGACCTCTACTTTAGATTGTTAATCAACAGAAATAAATAAGGCACTGTTTTCTGTCTTTAAGGGGCTCATAGTCTAGTTGAAGAAAACTAGAGCAGAGCAAAGGTGTTCAGCAATTCTTAGTTAACTGATGTTTTATGTCACTACCGTTACTGTATATGCAAATATATACTTGTACCTTTCATGAAATGACTCCTAGTTGAGAGCACATGAAATATGAATGGACTAAATGTGTTCATCTGAGGTTTTCTCAGGAAATGAGATGAGCTTAAAGCTAATAGACTTCTAACTTTTAGCTTCTTTCCCTTTTAGTAATGCTAGAAACCATATACTTCATTGCCTTTCAGATGTGGTGGTGCTAGAATTTGTTATATTTTCCATGAGACTTTTGGACGAACCTTAGAATCTGTTGACCCACTTGGTGGCCTTAACACTATTGATATTTTGACTGCCATTAGAAATGCTACTGTGAGTATGCTTAACTTTTGGACTTTTTAAAAATGAGGTTAAAGCTTCATTTTCTTACCCATATATCTTTTTAAATATAAAGTTTGTTATTTTGTTCCCATACTTGAAATTAAGCACTTTTTATGAAAATTACCAAAAATGTGACTTATGTTTTAACCTTAGAAAGAAATGAAATTACACATACCTACAGAAAGAGCTCTAAGTTTTATTTTTTCAGGGTCCTCGTCCTGCTTTGTTTGTGCCTGAGGTTTCATTTGAGTTACTGGTCAAGCGGCAAATTAAACGTCTAGAGGAGCCCAGCCTCCGTTGTGTGGAACTGGTTCATGAGGAAATGCAAAGGATCATTCAGCACTGTAGCAACTACAGTACACAGGTACTGAGAGAAGTGTAATTACAAATCTCAGATTAACTAGTAAAGGGCATGAAGTGGTTGCATAGGGTGAGAGGAAGTGGGCAAGATGGGCTAAACGTTAAAACCTTCAATTCCCTTACTAAAATAAAAGTGATTTCAGTCATCATTAAGTGCAATAAATTGACATTTTTCTTTCCTCTATCATTTATAGGAATTGTTACGGTTTCCTAAACTTCATGATGCCATAGTTGAAGTAGTGACTTGTCTTCTTCGTAAAAGGTTGCCTGTAACAAATGAAATGGTGAGCTACTATGTCACAAATCATTATTGTATTATTAGTAAAAGTTTAAATTTTTGTTTGGCTGCTATTTTATACAGCATTAAATTGATTACTTTAAAGTTTAGGCATAATGTTTCCCAGTGTATTGGGAGGATATAACTTGAGTTTCACTCTTATTTCAAAGGAAAATTTTCAATAATTCTGGTATAAAGTGTATTTTTCTTCATTTTTTTGTTTGTTTATAATTTTTTCTTTAAATTTTTTCACCTTTTTTTTTTTACTCATCTTAGCTTCTAGATGCTTGTATTTTCTTCATATTTTAATCATTGTTAGCCTGCAGCCACAGGTTTTCACGAGATTGGAATTATTGTTAAGGGTTGTGAATAGTTTTGTTATATAGTATATTGATCTATATAGTATACTGATCTTAATCTTAGTTCTATCTTCAGCTTCGGTAAACTGAGCCTTTACAGCATGCTTTTACTTTATGAAGTACATCAGGGTAATCTGGCCACTTCTACAAAGCTTGGCTTGTTTGATGACCTAAACTATAATATAGTTGCTTGCTACTATTCTGTAAGTTGCTGCTATTCCACAGTAATAAAAATGCTGAAATTGGCAGAAATATGGGATAAGCATTTAAAATTGCCCTTATGCCTCTAATTGTTGGCTGGGTTTTTTGTTTTTTGTTTTCTTTTTTGTTTTTCTTTCTGGTCACTAAAAGTGCATTTGGGTCCTTGGCTCAGGATGTGAGCCCCAGTGGAGGTTACTAAGAGTACAAAACCATCCTTGGAAGTATAGAATGTAAGTGCTGCTGCTTGGTTGTTTCCTTGGCAAGGATAACCTTCAGATTCAGATGTCTAAGACTGAACTTAGCCTGATCTCAAACTCTACCTACTGATATCACCGAATCATTGGAACTACATTTGAATAGACCCCTCTCACCTAGTTCTGAATCTGTAAGTGGTGTTCTGATACCTGAGATTTGTCAGGACAGTGCAGAAGACATAGTAAAGGATTTAAATTTATTCTCTCTATAAGCCTTAGATATTATATAGGGGGATGGAGAAATTAATTTCAACTTTTCTTTTTGATTATCCCATTAGGATCTTGAACCACATATGATATTTTAACGAGGTGCTTCATAATTAACACTCATCAGTCACTAATTCAGGTCTTTAAAATATATCCTTTACCTAAGTAAAGTTAACATCTTTAACTTATGTCTGATTATGAACTGTTTTGTTATTGTTGATACTCAACTAAAACTTTGACATGGAATAGTGGATGATCTGAAGTTTTAATAGCAAAGTTGCATAAAGCCCTGGAACTTAGATTTTTATCAGGTAGATAACTGTTTTTTTCTTAACAGTAAAATACTTCTAGCTACCTTAATGTCATTTCCCCCCGTAGTAATGCAATTTTAGATGCTGAAATGTAAATAATTTAAAGCTAGAGCAAATTATTTTGGGCATAAGATTTATCAGTTGGAGTCCAATTGTTGAATAATTATTTAGGCATGAATTTCCTGTACTTTTTCAGTATTGTCTGTTTAGTAAATTTTATGTACAAATTTCTGGGACTACAATTAGGTTGACGTAGTTTTGAAGATAGTCTAACTCTATTTTTTTCTAGGTCCATAACTTAGTGGCAATTGAATTGGCCTATATCAACACAAAACATCCAGATTTTGCTGATGCTTGTGGGCTAATGAACAATAATATAGAGGTAAATATAATTGAAACGGTCTTTTTTCACAGGTAGAGAATCTGTTGTAATTCAGTCACATCAAATTTATTAAGCATGGGATAACTATAAAAGAGACATGCACCGTATTAGTGCCTGTTTTATGCCAGGAAATATGCTAAGGGCTTTACAATTTTTGTTAAATTCTTGCAACCACCTGGAGGCATTATTCTTACTTTTAGCTTATGAAACTGAAATTCAGAGAGAATCTGGGAATTTACTGATCAGTGTTGAAGGACTGCCTGATTCTATTTTCAGTAACTTATAGTTTATTCAGGTTCAAGTGTAAAACAAAGTGAGTGTTAAAAATTGTTTTCATTTGGCTCTGAAAGCTGTGAAGGAAATATTCAAGAATTACCCATCTTTCCATATATTTGGAAAAGCAGAGTGCTCTTTTCACCACTACTGGGTGGCTGCATTTTATTGATTTTTTTTTCATTTGACATTAATGTAACAAATTGCATAAGATCTCGGATGGCACCAAGGTTGAGAGAGCAATTTATCTAGATACTAGTTTTTTCTCTGACACTTTTATCCAAGAACAGTAAGTTCTCTGTTATTCCTGAATCCAGTAAGACCTCAGAGTCTCCTTTATACCAAATTTCTATTTCTGCATAGGAGTAGAAAGAAAATTATAAACATGGAATTTGGAAACTGGAAGGGACCCTGGATTATTGACTTCAACCGGAAAACAGATGAGGTCCACACATGATAACAGCTATTCCTTTGGTGCTTATTTTGTAGGGCACTGTTTTTTTGTTACATAGCTTGGGTCATTCTTATTATCATAAAAAATTCCAAAATGCATACATGAATAAGGCACTTTAAAGCACTCAAAGTGTACTAGGTAACAATTATGTTAAAAATTAGCATGGAGACACTTACTTAGTTTAAGGATTTAGTTCTTTTAACACTGAAATCAACTTCATGGAAAACTTGTATCTAGAGCAGTTTTGTTACACTGACAAGGTCATATGTGATGTGGTTTCAGATCAGTATTTTTCTCTGGTTTTAATGACTGCCAAAGAATTTTATGTGGGTATTCTCATTTAATCTTTATCATAAACCTGTGAGGGTAGATAATGTTAACAGATTGGAAAACCAAGGCTTAGGAGTTGGTAACCTATCCACTTAACGCAAGTCAGGTATGCTTAGGTCCAAGGCCAGCTGAAGTCCTAACTGGTTGGTAACAGCCTAGGGTGAGAATTACTATTCACTAGATTCCCTGCCTTTTGCTTTGTATACTCTTCAAAATGAACATTTATACATGCTAACTCTATTCTGAAGATTAATAGCCATATATTTTTATCATCTATATTTTTTACCACTGGCTAACCTCTCATGAACAAATAAAAATAGGTTAAATTTCTGAAAAAAAAAATCCTTACACATAAAACATCATTGTGAAGCTGCTTTGTTAACATATACATTTTGCAAGTTTGAGAGTATTCATGAACTACTTTCTACTTAGGAACAATTTTGACTGTATTTAAACTAAATGCTTTCATACTGTATTTGATGCTGCCTAAGAGAGATCCATCATTAACATCCACATCTTTCTGTACCTTTATAATCTTGAACCTACCATTGTGCTTAGATGTAGCAGGTACATACTGATTTGAATTTAAGTTTCTTTAGCTTTGTACTATAGTTACTTTGGTTAACATTAGCAAATTAGAACAGTGGGTAGTTGATCACTTTGTTAAATTAGCCAGGTTACAGAAAGGACTATCAGTTGTCAACACTATTTATTTCTTGGAAGTAGTTGGGATAAAGAAAATGGAACAGTTTTTAAGGATAACTTCAGCCACAAGATATTTCTTTTTTTCTTTTTTTTTGAGACAGAGTCTCGCTTTGTTGCCCAGGCTAGGGTGAGTGCCGTGTCGTCAGCCTAGCTCATAGGAACCTCAAACTCCTGGCCTCAAGCAATCCTGCTGCCTCAGCCTCCCAAGTAGCTGGGACTCCAGGCATACGCCACCATGCCTGGCTAATTCTTTCTATATATTTTTAGTTGTTCAATTAATTTCTTTCTATTTTTAGTAGAGACGGGGTCTGGCTCTTGCTCAGGCTGGTTTCGAACTCCTGACCTCGAGCAGTCCGCCCACCTGGGCCTCCCAGAGTGCTAGGATTACAGGTGTGAGCCACCACGCCCGGCCACACAAGGTATTTCTTTAAGTCATGGTTTTGTGTGCAGGACGTCTGTGAATTTAACACAAAACTGTGCAGGTTATAGTGATTTTTAAAGGCTTCGCTAAGTTTTCTGTGATCTGTGTGCTTCAAATTCTACATGGTATATTGAAGGCTTATGTTCCACATTTATGTGGGGACAGTTTAAATCAATATTTCTTACCTTAGTGGGAAAGGGAGAGAAGATGTCAGTCTGTTGCCCCTTATTTCAGAATCCCTAGTATAGGAAGCCACTGTTACTGACACTGTATTGTATCCCTCAGGTATGTTGGGACAGGAAAAAAAGTTGAGAAGCATTGGATTAAATGATTTCTTATTTATTTTAAAATAATGATAATTATGGCATGAGTCCTAACAGTGAGAAGATACGTTTGTAAGTTATTCTGAATTTTTTACTAGGCATATATCTCAGCGCTCTGATAATCACTTCTGTTTTGCTTGCTGGTTTTATAGGAACAAAGGAGAAATAGGCTAGCAAGAGAATTACCTTCAGCTGTATCACGAGACAAGGTAAAAAAACAATGTTTTTAAAGCATATTTCTAAATACCCAAAGGTGGATTGGTGAGCCTCAAGAATATTATTCAGTTCTAGGAGTAATTTTTTCTTCTTCTCTCTAACACTCCACTGGAACTATTTAATTGTTTGAGTAAAGGTATGCAAGTTTAAAATAGTAATTTAAAGATGATAACAGTGTTTTGAATTCACTGGAATAAATGGTTAAAGGTGGCTTTTAAACATTAAGCCGCACTTTTTAAAAATAACTCAGTTGACTTTGTCAACTTTGTAAAATTAGTTGAAATGACTAATGACTTTATTATAATAGGATTTTTTGGAGAGGGAAGACAACAATATGTACATAACAGGTTTTAATTACCAAAAATACCTTTAATAGTTACATATGTTAAAATGTGTGTATAAAAATTTGTTACCTTGAATTCTTTGCCAGAAAAGAATCTTATCAAATACCAAAAATAAAAACAAAGCTTTTGGATTTTTCTTGCATATTCATCTGAAGAACACTTCACAATGGTGATGACAGTGGTACAGGAAATAGGCAGGGTAAACAATTTTATCTCCCATGATTACTTTTGTTTTTCACATTATCTTACTATTTTGTTACAGAGGTGAAAAATTCACATTTATAGAATGTTTCTGAATGCATCTTTGGCATCCTTGATTTTTTTTTTCCCTGCATTTTTTGCCTTTAGTCTTCTAAAGTTCCAAGTGCTTTGGCACCTGCCTCCCAGGAGCCCTCCCCTGCTGCTTCTGCTGAGGCTGATGGCAAGGTCTGTTCTGATTCGTAATCTAAACTTGCATGCCTAGTTGTTTGATGCAACATAGTCTTCTGGAAACAATACACTGAATAGAAGAATATTAATATGAGATATTTGTGCTAAGGTCAAATCATTTTAGTGTAATATAAATTTTACAATTATTTAACGATGTATACTTTATAAAATATTGTTGATATGCTTTTGCTTACAATATAAAAAGTGCACATAGAAGTAATTTAAAGAGAAAATTATCCTGCACTTTTTGAATTTCAAGCCATTGGTATTTAAATTTTGCTTGTTAAATTGCATGTTTTAACATATCTTTTAACAGTTAATTCAGGACAGCAGAAGAGAAACTAAAAATGTGAGTCTCTTGCTTCAAAATGAAAATGTTAGTACCTTTGGTTCTCACTAAATCACTGTCTTTAAAACCATTGAAGAACCTGTTTGTACAGTGGCATCTATCTCTTGTTGTCTGTGTCATGTTCTTAATGTTCCTTTTATCTAACCCATGTAAGATGGCATTAATTCTAAGTTTTAACTAATAACAATAATAGTCTTTAATAACTAATAACAGTGGCATATATAGGCTTTCCCACTGTTTGCCTGTTCAAGAATAGTTTTGAATTTAGTATTTTGGTAGGGAATTAAGATTTCAGAGATGGAAATGTTACTTTTGAACATTTCCTCTTTAAAGATTTTGAGATCTGTTCAGTACTAATGGCTAATCCTCTAATGCTTCTTTCTTATGCTTCCAATTAGTTTGTACTTATCACCCTAAATGTATAACTTCACATGTGCTTCAAAAGCTTAAGCAAATTCAAAACAGGAGGACTGAGAGTTTGAGACTGTTGTCAATTCTTGATAAATCTTTCACGGGAAAATTAAATAATGTGTAAATTATTCAGACCTATTCCTATTTATCTCCTTTCCTTATTGTCCATATTTAAGGTTCTTAACCTCAAAGCCTTATATCTTATCTTCTCTCAGCCCACTGTGCTCAGATATTAAAAGAACCATCTAAATCACTGCACAAGTTTTATTTCATTCATGGCATCATACTGGATATGCTAACTTTTCTTAAGATTTCATTTGCTGTACCACTCATGTATGGTTAATAAGCATTTAAAAATGTAACTATTTGTTAATTAATGTATAATATAAATGTACTGCCTGTATTTAGATGTAGCTTACCTTAACTAACATACTAGAGACAGTTTTTGGCCAGTATTCTGATTCAGAATGATACCCTGAAACTCCCATTTTTCTAACAATTGCTATAATGCTCTTCTGTTAAATAAATAAAAACCGATTATATAAATTTATTTATTTTTGAGACAGAGTCTCACTTTGTTGCCCAGGCTAGAGTGAGTGCTGTGGCATCAGCCTAGCTCACAGCAACCTCAATCTCCTGGTCTCAGCGACTACTGCCTTAGCCTCCCAAGTAGCTGAGACTACAGGCATGCGCCACTATGCCTGGCTAATTTTTTGTATATATATTTTTAGTTGGTCAATTAATTTCTTTCTATTTTTGGTAGATGGGGTCTCACTCAGGCTGGTTTCAAACTCCTGACCTCGAGTGATCCGCCCGCCTCGGCCTCCCAGAGTGCTAGGATTACAGGTGTGAGCCATCGCACCCGGCCTATAATCCATTTTTAGATTGTGATCTTAAAGAGCCTCTAAAAAAAAATCTCCTAAATATTGATGAGTTTTTTTTTTTTTTTTTTAAAGTCAAGACTCTTAAACATATATCCTAGAAAATAAGGTGCAAAGGCACTTGTGATTAATGGTAGCATAGGTGTCATTCAGCAGATCCTTTCTCAGGAGAATTTACATTTACGTCACATTTGACAGCAGCGTATAGTGACTGTCAGCCTAAGAATAGAAGAGTATGGTCTTATTCCAGTTCCTTTTTTTTTTTTTTAAGAGTTTCTACTCTGACCTCATGGCATTTTTTGTTGACTATTAGGAATGTAAACCAAGTTGAAAAATATAAACGTTTACATTTGGAGATAAGTTCATAGAACTTTTGGAGAAATGATAGTTCAATGGTGTTTAAGATTCTTTTGAAGAAACTGAATTGAATGTCAGTTCTTTTTCCTTGTATGTGCTTTTAATGAATATTGCTTTTAAGGGTAGCTTATATTTTTTCTACAATCTAGTGTTTGTGGGGTGAGAGAAGAGGAAAAACTTTGAAGTTACCAAATGGTAAAAAAAAAAAAAAAAGGAATTCAATAGAACCTAAATTGACTGAGACCTTGCAAACAATTATTCAGACCTCTTATTTAGACAGCTTAGAGTTCCGGTTATGCCACCTACTGTCTCTTTCTGACCTCATTATCTGTCTGAATAAATGAAATTCCAGATGGATACTAGATGTGTGTTCTTGACTACTGTCAAAGAAAATGGGCTTTGTTTAGTTAACATCAGATATGACATGGTTAGTATAGGTTTTGGAACATTTTTTTCAGGTTGCGTCTGGAGGTGGTGGGGTTGGAGATGCTGTTCAAGAAGCAACAACAGGTAACTGGAGAGGAATGCTGAAAACTTCAAAAGCTGAAGAGTTATTAGCTGAAGAAAAATCAAAACCAATTCCAATTATGCCAGCCAGTCCACAAAAAGGCCATGCTGTGAATCTGCTCGATGTGGTAAGTCATGAGAATTTGGTTTAGGTCTAATTAGATGACCAAATTAGGAAAACATTTGCAAAGACAAAAGGAACTATAAGTCTCAAAAACTTAATTTAACTTTCGAATGTTAAGTGTTGCCATTTCAAAATGGCACCAAAGTAATACTTTTCCTCCCTATTCCACTTAGCCGGTACCTGTTGCACGAAAACTATCTGCCCGGGAACAGCGAGATTGTGAGGTTATTGAACGACTCATCAAATCATATTTTCTCATTGTCAGAAAGAATATTCAAGACAGGTTAGTACTATTTAATATAAATCACAGACTATAATACTGCTAGATGATTCCACGATCTCTTGAAAATACATGGCTTTAAAAAAATTTCAGGTTTTTATTCAATAGAATGGATTCTCTGTTAGCCTTTGGGTATCTGTCATAGCAAGTCTTGGTTTGTTAACATACAATGATTAGGACCTAATGTGTTATATTAACTAGAAAAAACTATTAGGAAATGAAAGATATTCTTTTGTTCTGTCTGGCTGCCATGTTTTCAGACATCTAAGAAAATGTTTTTCTAAATTTTAACATAGTTTCATTATTTTGGTTGATAATACCTTTTTAATTATTTGATTTGGTTCTCCAAAGTATGAAGATAAATGTCTATCACTAGGCAATATATATATTTTTTCATTCTAATTCAGAGTGGGTTTTTTTTAATGTATCCACTGCCTCATGCTTTTTCTTCATGTTGCCTGTGATGTCATTTCATGCAGTAATAAGGAGAATAAAAATTTAGTTGTATCAAGTGATCTAACTCTATTAGAAAATATTCTGGGCCAGGCATGGTGGCTCAGGCCTGTAATCCTAGCACTCTGGGAGGCTGAGGCAGGCAGATTGCTCAAGGTCAGGAGTTCAAAACCAGCCTGAGCAAGAGCGAGACCCTGTCTCTACTATAAACAGAAAGAAATTAATTGGCCAACTAACATTTATATAGAAAAAAAATTAGCCGGGCATGGTGGCGCATGCCTGTAGTCCCTTTCTACATGGGACGCTGAGGCAGAAGGATCGCTTGAGCCCAGGAGGTTGAGGTTGCTGTGAGCTAGGCTAACGCCACGGCACTCGCTCTAGCCTGGGCAACAAAGCGAGACTGTCTCAAAAAAAAAAAAAAGAAAGAAAATATTCTGTATATAATTTGTAGTAATCTACTAGCGGGTAAAAGAAAAGTTACTACACAAAGGGATAAAAAGATAGTCTAATTTACTTCATAATGAAATCAGCAATTTTATCTGTAGAATCTTTTAACTTGTACCTGTGAGAGAAATAATTCTTTGTGTTTTACACTGTGACCTGAAGAAAAAATTCTAGGCCCTAGCTTTTGTCTCCTTCACTGCCCTTATCTTCTACGAAAGTGTTTTTTTCTAAGAAATTCATATACCACAAAGCCCACCCCTTTTTAAATAGTGTATGTTTATCACAACATTGTGCAACCATTATCTAATTCTGTACCATTTGCATTACCCCATAAAGAATCCCTGTAACATCAGCAATGACCTCCCTTTTTGCCCTTCTTCTCATCCTCTCATTCCTCTGATCCACTAACCTATGGTCTCTATGGGTTTGCCTATTCTGGACATTTCATATAAGTGGGATCATTCTGATATGTGGCCTTTCGTGTCTGGCTTCCTTCTCTTATGTTTTTAAGGTTCATCCATATGGTAGCATGAATCAGTACAGTCATGTGCTCTACAAAACAATGATTCAGTCAACAATGGACCACATATGTGACAGTGGTCCCATACAATAATACCATACCTTTTCTGTGTTCACATACACAAATACTTAGCATTGTGTTACAGTTGCCTACAGTAACATGCTGTACAGGTTTGTAGCCTAGGAATGCAGTAGGCTAGACCATTTAGGTTTGTGTAAGTACTCATGATCACACAAAGACAAAATGGCCTAAAACATTTCTCAGAATGTGACATGTGACTATAGAGAGATATAATATTCTATTTATCCATTCATTAGTTGATAGGTGTTTGGGTTTCCCCCACTTTTTGGCTATAATGAATAATGCTCATTGCAGAGTTTTGACAATAAGGGATAATCACAGATGACATGAATGAAGGTTCTAACGTTTGATTTTAATAAAGCTAAAGGATGATTATCCCATTAAAGAAATAACCAAGTTAGAGTAGAATTTTTGCCAAAATTTCATAATTTGGTTTTGTTTTGCAGTGTGCCAAAGGCAGTAATGCATTTTTTGGTTAATCATGTGAAAGATACTCTTCAGAGTGAGCTGGTAGGACAACTGTATAAATCATCCTTATTGGATGATCTTCTGACTGAATCCGAGGACATGGCACAGCGTAGGAAAGAAGCAGCTGATATGCTAAAGGTAATATTGTGAATTTTTATATTTACCCAACAGTTTATAATGCATTCCGATCCTTGGCTGCGTATAGTTTTTATATTATAGCTAAGTTTTTTTTTCTATTGGTGCTTGATTGGTTTCAATCTACCACATGTAAATGGGAGAAATTACCCCACATAAGCCAGATTAATATAACTTAATAAGCACTAAGATTTTTCTATTTCTTTTAATACAGGCATTACAAGGAGCTGGTCAAATTATTGCTGAAATCCGAGAGACTCATCTTTGGTGATGAGAGCTATATGATACTGAGAAGACTTTGTTGACTCCAAACTTGCTAGTTACTGCCCACTTGAGTAGAATTTTATTTATGAACTCCTGTGTATTGCAATGGTATGAATCTGCTCATGTGAAGACTGGCTATAAACTGAAAAGTGTACTCTGTATTGCAGAACAAATCACATTTAATCTAAATAATAAATGGCCGTTTCTAAAGTTTCCCAGTATATATAAAATATATCAAGTCTGTCTTGTGACAGTTTCCAAAAAGAACTGTTAATGTTCTAGTTGTACAAAGCAGTCTGCCTGTGTATAAGAAGCCCTGTGTAATCTTTATTAGTAGTTGTAAACTGCTGCCATAGGCCTTCAAGAAGAAAGCACCAAGACAACATTTCATATGACTATAATGCATGTACTATGTAGACTGACCTGCCTGTAAAAGACGTGGGTTGGCAAGTTCCTCACATATGGTCAATGTATTCCACTTGTCCTTCAATTTAGTTTTTTTCTGAGCTTCTCTGCAGCCCGTGATATGTTATTAAGAAAGCTGAAATGCGCGAGAGGATCTGAAACACTGACATAGATGCAGCGTGCATACTGTGTAGTTACACAGCTCTTCCACTTCTGGGTCCACGTTGCCCTAGTGCATTAAAATTTAAAATAAACCTGAAAGCATGAATTAGAATTTCCTGCATTAAAAATAACTAGACTTGATTATCTAGTAAGACTTGGTAATCATGGCCAGTTCCTTTTAGTTTTAGAGGATCCAATGGTGACCTAAATTCCCCTTAATTTGCAAATATAGTGGTAATTAAGACACCGCTCTAAAATGGGGCACCTAGAACAGGCTCCAAGATTCACTTTGAGGTGGGACTTAATTAAGATCATTCTACTCTTTGTAAGTATTAGTTGGCAATAGCTACTTTTGCTTCATACCAACAAAATACATGAAAATACTGGTGGAGCTTTGTTACTTAAAAACATTTGAGTACACATACTCCCAAAGGCTTAAATTGCATTCAGGGGTGGAGGCGACAGTTAAAAGGTATACATATTTTACTAAAATTCCCTAGGTGATCTTGGTATGAACTACTACATTATAAATTTTAAGATATGAGTAGAAAGCCCAAAGACATCTAGTTCTATCTCTAACAGATGATACATTAAGTACGTGTTACACATATTAAAATTTCTTTTCAGGTTATGAGCAGATATTTATGAAGGACTACTGGCAGAAAAATATGAGTACATTAACTTTAGCTTACAGGACACATTTACTAAGAAACAACAGGCTCAACAATTGATCTCAAACATAAAAATCCCTAAATTAGTCTGATATGTGGTACTACTCTGAATCTGTTAACAATACCATTTTGACAGAATACATGCTATCAAAATGTTAGCACACTTAAAAATTATTCTGTCATTATACATTGGTTTTGAAATTATAGCCATCCATGATACACTTTTTCCAGACAGTGTATCAGATGACTACCCTTCTAGTCTTTTGAATTTGTAAGGAAGAAAAAACTTACGCTGCACCTTTCTTCAGCACATCAAACATTTCAAACTGAAAATGTTAGTTTTAAAGACATGCTATCGTAATGCACTTGGTACAAAGAAAAACAGAGGCAAGAATCTTAAAATGGAAAGAAAAAAAGCACTTCCTTTGTTGGCCCTTAAACTGAGTGAAATTCTGAAATGTAGAGATGATCTCTGACATTTATAATAGACACCTGCATGTTCTTATTGTATAAATAAAATTGCTGGTATGAAATGACATTAAAGTTTGTCAATAAATTCTTCCTAACTTTTCTCCAAGAGAAAGGTTTAGATAAACTGTAGCTTTTTAACACCTAAATCTACTTTGGAACAATACAGTCGCAGTGTCCCAAAAGTTACATGATTTTTTTCCTATTGGATCCTCACAACTGAATGAGGTATTATTATATCATCTCCATTTTTGCATATAAAAAGATTACTTGCTCCAAGTAATCCAGGTAGTAAATTGCTAGAATTCGAACACTAAAGCCATACTCTGCTGCCTGTAAGGTTTTCAGAAGAAATGATTAACCATTTTGTGTGTGATTTACTTGATTCTCAGGGAATGGGGGTGCCATCACCTTGATTTTTCAGATGTGGAAACAGTTCTGGAGAATCAACTTGCCTAATGTTTGTAGAGCTGAACTCAGTCTTGATTCTAAATCCTTTAAGTTTTGACCTAAAAACTTCCCTTTCCTGGGTACTTTTTGATATTTTCACACGATTGCACATTTGGTATAATATTTGTCTCTTATTTCTTTGGTTGCTTCACTTTTCAGTTACTTAAGTTGCAGTCTGCTTAGTGGCGGAAGTTGAAAGTTAAAGCCAATTAAAAAGTTTCTAAATTTATAAAATATTTCTACCTATAGAAAGTTTCTAATACTGTTTTTTCCCATTTCTAATGTGGATACTAGAGGCATTGCTGGTTTTATAACGACTACATAACACTGGTCAGGATCCAGGCTCCTTACCTGATGTAAAAGCAGCCACAATTCCTTACTTATACCACCTCTTTTTCATTGCTCTTACTTTTGTCTCCCACAAAGGAGAGCAAGGGTAGAGAGAGGTCAGACAGCATTTATTTCTTTCGTGAAATATAATTTTTTATAAAAAAGATTAACCCTGGGAATCATGGTTTTCTATAGTAGTCCTTAATGTTTGTGGATCAGAAATAAAATATCCCATCACGAAACAGACACCTTATTAACCAACCCATAAAAATAATGAAATTACTCACACTTGAGGCCTACTGTATACTCCACTGTTTTTCTGATTTGCATAAGCGAAGGTATAAGTTCTGGAGCCAACCTTTCATGTCTTGAGAATGAATGATGGATAAGTTCGTTTGAAAAGGATTTTTCATAGCTGAAGCCATTTTATAATGTAAAAATTCCTTTTTCCTATTTTAAGTAAAGAAAGTCCATTCTTGAGAATATGTTGTCCAACAACTAAAACACTCTCAGGATTTGTTACTTGTCTGTGATTTATACTGACTCCACCTTCTGTTATCATTCGATACCTAAAAACAGAAATGTTTAGTAACTAGAGCGATCCAGTCACTGTTGACCTTTCCTCCACAAAGATTATTTCCCTTAAATGTCAGAGGCTTTCCAACTGAGACCATTTAGCATTGAATTGTTCCCTTCAAGCTTACTCTATTAGATTCTGCCTCCTTTAAATGCTCTTCAAAAGGAGATGTAAGGCATAATAGTAATGGTAGGTTTCTTGGTTAGTAGAGAAAAAGAATTGGTCTGTCTCACAGCTCTTGCTATTAATAGAACTATTTGGTTGCTAGTTTTTAAAATGAAGTAAATAGAAATAATGGAGGTACTTTCTGGAATGTTCCCCAGAAAAAAAGTCACAGAAAAGAAACTTCCAAAAATGGAAGAACAATGTTGCTTTCAATAAGGTACCCATGAGACAAAAGTCACAATTACAGTGTTATCTATAGAAATCTTTAGGAAATTGGAAAATCTGTGCAAATTATATTCTGAGACTGCAAATAATAGGAAATTGTTTGTTAGACTAAAATGAAGAAAATTTTTCTTTTTCTTTCTTTCACCCTGACAGGGTCTTGCTGTGTTCCTCGGGCTGGAGTGCAGTGGCTTGATTATAGCTCACTGCATCCTCAAACTCCTAAGCTCAAATGATCCTCCTTGCTCAGCCTCCTGAGTAGCTAGGACTTACAGGTGTGCACCACCTGTAAGCTTGGATAATTTTTCTTATTTGTTCTAGAGAAGAGCGTCTTGCTATGTTGTCCAGGCTGGTCTCAATTGATCCTCCTGCCTCATCCTCCCAAAGTGCTGGCATTAAAGATGTGAACCACTATGCCCAGCAAAAGAAAAATTTTCTTAAAAATGAAATTGGTTGGCCGGGCGCGGTGGCTCACGCCTGTAATCCTAGCACTCTGGGAGGCCGAGGCGGGCGGATTGCTCAAGGTCAGGAGTTCAAAACCAGCCTGAGCGAGACCTCGTCTCTACCATAAAAATAGAAAGAAATTAATTGGCCAACTAATATATATAATATAAAAATCAGCCGGGCATGGTGGCTCGTGCCTGTAGTCCCAGCTACTCGGGAGGCTGAGGCAGGAGGATCGCTTGAGCCCAGGAGTTTGAGGTTGCTGTGAGCTAGGCTGACGCCACGGCACTCACTCTAGCCTGGGCAACAAAGTGAGACTCTGTCTCAAAAAAAAAGAAAAAAAAAAAATGAAATTGGTTGATTTCAGAAATAGAAAATTAATAGCTGACCTAATAAATTCTAGATTAGATTATTCAAGGACAGAAAATCTTTCCTTTAGGAAACATTATTTTAGTCTGTTTGCTACAGTTTGCAGATGATGTTTCTGTTTTATTTAAATGCATAAAGCCAACCCTATTTAGTTTATACAATATAAAAAATACAATCAGTATTACTTAGAACCCAGGCTGTATCAGATGTGGTGTCATCTTAAGTAGTGGTAAAACTTACAGTATCAGCAAACACACCATAAGAAAGTTCAGAAGAAATGAAAAATGCTTCCACAATGAGGAAAATCCTTAGACTCAGTGACTCACTGTAGGGAAGTATATGACACCATGGTCAAATTCAGTGCACATTAAATAAACTGGCATAGTAGGGAATCAATAAGGTGGACTGGCAGGTGACGCAAAGGGAGACAATGGGTCCTTCCTCCATAAAGAGTAATCTAGGGCTCTTCAGGATAGAGGCAAAAAATCCAAAACAACTGAAAGAGAACTGCAACTATAGCAAATGTCATTCATAATCATGGCTGGGGGCTGATAACTTTGACTTATGCTAGAACTCCTGTAGATGAGGTAGCCAGGGTCTTCTGGCTAACTAAAGCTTTTCCTTCTATATCTCACTGCTCATTTAAAATGGATAAGAACCGGCCAGGCACGGTGGCTCAGGCCCGTAATCCTAGCACTCGGAGGCTGAGGCGGGTTGATCGTTTGAACTCAGGAGTTCGAGAGCAGCCTGAGCAAAAGCGAGACCCCATCTCTACTAAAAAATAGAAAAAAATTAGCTGGGCATAGTGGCGCATGCCCGTAGTCCCATACATGGGAGGCTGAGGTGGGAGGATTGCCTGAGTCCAGGAGTTTGAGGTTACTGTGAGCTAGGTTGATGCCATGGCATTCTAGCCCGGGCAACAGAGTTAGACTGTCTCAAAAAAAAGTAGTAAAATGGATAAGAACCAATCGTATGTCCAATTACTTTTTGTGGAATATCTTATTTATTCCCTAATAATACCACATAACTGAGGAATTAAAATATTCTTACTTCTTGCATAAGAAAAATATAATTCTCAAGGGATCATTATGTAGTTCCTAATAGTCTTAAGAAATTATATCCTATGTTCTCATTTTCATAAATGTAAGTTATCTTTTAAATAGGTTGGGTAACCACAGACTGAGTATGATAGAGATTGTGTGAATCCATTCCCTCAGGGCCTCTGTTTCTGTGACCTTCATGAACTGTGACCATATTTGACTATATTTACTGAACAATGTGGTCCCTCAAACACAAGACTTTTCCAGTGTTGGAGGAAAAACTGGGTTAGACTTAATAAGAGACAGTATAGAAGTGCTGTACTTTATAGAAAACTTAAGGTATTTTTAACAATTAAGTACTCTCTGTTTTCACTTTATTCTTGGACTAATCTAACTTCTATAAGGAATGAGACATCATTAAAGCATTATCAGGAAAACACCCTCTATAGAAACATGCTGTGTACAGTAACATTTAATGGTGAATTAACTATGAATCTGAAAGTTAAATCATCTTACCCTCGGGGACCATCGGGAATGGCATTTGCTTTGCGGCATGTATCTAGGACGCTTGTTCCAGGGTCAAGAACTAATTCAGAAAATGAAGCTTCTTTAAACAGCTCTTTTAACTCTTGATCAGACATGACCTCCAGTGCATCTATGCTACTATGGTAAAGGGCCTGTGTACACCTGAAAAACATATTTTAAGGGCCATATCATGAAAGTGCTTATTCAAACACATGTTCTAATACCCATGAACCAAGTATAGAGTACCCATGTTCCAGACTGAAACTTATATAATTATAAATATAATAGACAAACATCTATTGTATTTGGTATAATTCATGAATATAATGTAAGATAATCTTTCCAATAAACAGAGGCTGTTTTAAAGCACTTAAATACTGACAATTCTTGTCAGTGATAAATGACAAGATAACCCTGAAACAGCATACCTCCTAATTTCTCATGCCTATCAACTAAATAACTTTATCAAGTATTAATTATACTAAAAGGCTACCTTTTAGCAGAATCCAGTCCTTCTCGTCCATGAACAAGCTTTGTTACTTCTGCAGCAAGTCGTTTCTGAGGACCCCGCTTTTCTGGCTCTTTGAGGTGCAGTTGCATAATGTGGTCAATCTCCGGAATAGGCAGAAAAGTGAAGAGCTTCAGGTACCTTTGGGACAAAAATATAAAGTGTTACATTTATATCACATACCTAAATTTTATCTCCAGCTCCCTTACCTTTTAAAGAATATCTTGCTTACTTTAAAATTTTTATTTTTAAAGATAAAATATAACATGCAGAAAGGTATTGAAAATAATAGATATCCATGCACACATCACTTAGGTTTAAGATTTTACGATTTTGCCATTTTTGTTTTCAATCTTTCCTTTTTCAAAGGAATAAAATAGTCCAGACATAGATGGAAGCCCTAGTCCTATAACATTCCCTTCCTTGCCCCCAAAGATAACCACTAATCTAAATTTGTGTGCATCCTTCCTAAGCATGTTTTTGTACAACCCATGTTTTGAACAACCACAAAAATCACCTAACGATGCATTTCTCAGAATGTATCCCCATTGTTAAGAGATGCATGACTAATATCATCCTATATGTATCCCTTTTTAACATTTTCTTTGGTGAAGCTTAACATATAGAAAAAAGTATATTAATTACAAAGATCCAGCTTAATGAATCATAAAACAAATATCTATGGAACCATCGCCTTGGTTAAGAAATACATTTACCAGCCAGGCGCGGTGGCTCACGCCTGTAATCCTAACACTCTGGGAGGCCGAGGCAGGCAGATCACTCGAGGTCAGGAATTCGAAACCCACCTGAGCGAGACCCCGTCTCTACCAAAAATAGAAAGAAATTAATCGATCAACTAAAAAAATATATACAAAAAATTAGCCGGGCATGGTGGCGCATGCCTGTAGTCCCAGATACTCGGGAGGCTGAGGCAGTAGGATCTCTTGAGCCCAGGAGATTGAGGTTGCTGTGAGCTAGGCTGATGCCATGGCACTCACTCTAGCCGGGGCAACAAAGTGAGAGTCTGTCTCAAAAAAAAAAAAAAAAAGAAATACATTTACCCCTGAGGAAGCCCAAATATATCATACACCTCCATGTCCCCTCCAAGTTAACTACTATTCTGACTTTCATGACAATCACTTGTTTTTCTTTACACTTTTAACAACTCAGTATGCCTCCCTAAAGAGTATCACTTCTTAGTTTTGCCTGATTATAAGACTTTATGTTTAGGAGATTCATCCATGATGTTGTGTGTATAGCATTCCATGCTATGAATATCCCACGGTGTTTTTTTTGTGATGTAATGGTTTATGTGTAAACAAAGTAAAAAACCAAAGAACTATAAGGGTACATAGAGGTCCAACAGCTAAAATTACATCAGGAGTTTATGGTGTTAATTTTTCTCACTATTAAGAACTCACCTTTCCACTGAATCATCATGCTGCCTGAGGAAGAATTGATACAATTCAAATGGAGATGTCTTATCTCTGTTTAGCCAAACAGCATTGCCAGCAGACTTTCCCAGCTTTGCTCCAGTTGTACTTGTAATCAGAGGGACAGTGATTCCAAATACATCTTCTCCAGTCAACCTATGCATAAAGAAGAACTTCATTATGTGCCTCACACACACGTAGTGGTAGGTTCCACTATTCACTCTTTAGATTTCTGTGTGGTTACTTGATCCAAGAAACCTTCCTTGACCTCCTAAATGGGGATTCTTGTCCCTCATATGTACTGGTATAGCATTCTATTTTTGAATTTGCCATTCTGAACTACAATTGCATGCGTGGCTCTGGGCAAGCCAAAGGGAGGTGCTGCATAACTAGGAACTAGACTAGATTCTGAAAGGCTGCGTGGGAAGAGTAGAGAAAACGGAAGTGAAGGGGCAGCCAGGAAGAGACACTAAAACAAAGATGTTTTAAAAATGAGTCTTGGCTCTGCAGCACCTGGGCCAGTCCTCTACTTCATCTCCCTCAAGAAGATGCTATTAAAACCTACGTTACTTGTCAATATTTGGAGTTGAAAAAAATTTGGGGGTATGTCAACCAAAGAGTAACACTAAGCTTCAGGTGGGTGCAGAGCTCAGGCCGACGTGTTACTCAAGGAAGCCCAGTCACGTTCAGGTATAACCAAAGCTGAACATCAGTTTCTCAGAAACTGAGAGGGCGACTAGGGGAAGCAAAACAGACACCGAATCTTGACTAGTAGTCTATTTCCCGCGGAGTTGTAGAATACATCCCTTAATACCCTTAAATTGGCCCTTTAGTTCTCACTAGCCATTGTTACTAACGCCATTATAGATGCTTAATGGGGATAAAACCAACAAGGGCTTCAACGAATGGCAGCACTCTATAATCTTAACTGCGAAACACAGGCTACTAGTGTGTAAATTGTTTGGCCCAGTATTTCTCCTGGGTCTAAGGGCTCTTACTTGTGGATGAACTCATATCCGGACATGATGTTGCCCAACTGATCAGATCCTCCCAGCTGGACCCTGCATCCATAATGTTGGAACAGGTGATAGAAGTCATAGGCCTGGAGCACCTGGTAAAAGAACTCGGTCAAGCTCATGCCCTCGGGGCTCTTGAGCCGCGCCTGCACGCTCAGCCGGCTCAGCAGCGTGCCCATGCGGAAGTGGCCGCCCAGTGACGCCAGGAAGTTCACCAGGTGCTGCTTGTGGTACCAGGCTGAGTTGTCCAGCACGGTGAAGCTGCCCCAGGGACGCCCATCATTGAAGAGCTGCTGGTGATTAGCCGCCAGGGTCTCGAGCCCTCCGTGCAGGGCGCGCGCGTTCGCTCGCACGCGCTCCGCGTCCAGCGCCTCGCGCTCCTTGGTGCGGCCGCTCGGGTCTCCCAGGCGCGCCGTGGCGCTTCCCACCAGCGCGATCACGTTGTGGCCCGCTCGCTGGAAATGAAACAGGCCCAGCAGCGCCAGCAGGTGCCCCACATGCAGCGAGTCAGCTGTGGGGTCGAAGCCGCAGTAAATGGTTTGGGGAAAGTTGCCCGCCGTGCCACGGTCGAAGAGTTCTGGGAGCTCTATCTTCGTACCCCTCTCCGGGAAGAAATCCTTGAACAGACCCCGAGCCTTCTGCGCCGCCAGTAACCCCTGAGCACCCGAGTGAGCCTTACGGACCACCAGGGGCAAGACTCCTGATGAGGTTGGGGCACTAGACCAACAGCCTCTAGAAAAAAGCCGCAACATGGGCGCCGCCATTGTGGTGGCGGCACGCAAGGAATGCCGGGATCACAGCGGCCCCGGCGGCGCCCAGTCTTCTACCGCTCCTAGGGAAGTGCGTCAGTGTCTTTCTGCGCATGCCCGGGTCGTGCGCGAGGCGGTCACTTAGTAACGGAGCTTGTGTTTTAGCCAGTCCTGGGAGTTCCGACTATCCAAGTGGCGATTCCGCCTCGGGCCCAGTAGCTTTACCATTCCTAAAACTCCATTTCCTCATCCACAGTGTAGATGTTTATGATTATAGTCCCTGCCTCATAGGGTTGTTGTGAGGATTAAGAATTAAAGCACTTGGTACATAGTGCTCTATAAATGTTAACTTTTATTTAAATTTTCACGTAAAAACATTGTGATGTGCAAGTTCTTTGAAGTCTTGGTTCTATGCAAAACCCTGTGAAGAGGGTTATAAAGGCTTAGGAATTGTCACGAAGAGATGCGGAGATGGCGTCCAGACGCAAACAATTTCGCAGTACAGACACCCCAATTGCGCCTCAATCCCCAATACTCATTACATTCATTAGCTTCTCCAGGAGGTGGCAGGCTTGTCCAAGCTATAGCGAGAGAAAGTCAAAACACTAAATGCATTAAGTCCTGTCTTATTTATTTTTAAATACAGGTAGCTAGGTTGGGACCCGGCTTAGCATGACTGGATTCAAATTAGTAATCACATGGCCAAGCATGGCAGGTGCTTTGAATACACCACTCACCAGGGATGCGGTTCTCTTTGACAGCTGGCTGGCAGGTGATTCAGCTCCAGAATCTCATTTTAGAGTCCGATTTCCAGGACCAATCTCAATAGCAACTCTCTTAGGTCGAGTTCCCTGGATCTAAGTTGGAGATCTGTGTGCAGGAGGATAATTAGGGCGTGCTCTCGGGAACACACTGGTGATGGAGTGGGGGAAGCGGAGATGAGCAGAGGGAGAAGCTGAACTGTGAACAATTTGTAATTAGAGGCCTCTGACAATCTCATAGTGGGCTCTGGGATTTCCTTTCAGCAAATTCATCCTGAATTGAAGCAAAAGGACACACTTTTTACCCTCCTATTGACTAATTAAATTTGGAATGCACACGGGGAGGAAGCAAATTGCAGCGCAACGCTTTTGGTGGAGGGAGATGTGCTGAAAGAGACTCAGGTGTGAGCCATCAGCAACTAACACTCCCAGCACCTGTGGGAGTGCATGCCTTGTTTCTGGAGCAGGGATGGGGGTTTCATACTCCAAGCTGTTCACTGGAGGACCTTTCCATTTCTTAACATAAAGTCATTTAACAAGATGCAATCTTTTTCTTTAAATGTTTTACTTTTGAGACACAATTTTGCTCTGTTGCCTGGGCTAGAATGCCGTGGCGTCAGCCTAGCTCACAGCAACCTCAAACTCCTGGGCTCAAGTGATCCTCCTGCCTCAGCCTCCTGAGTAGCTGGGACTACAGGTGCACGCCATGATGCCCAGCTAATTTTTCTGTTTTCAGTAGAGATGGGGGTCTCGCTCTTGCTTAGGCCGGTCTCGAGCTCCTGAGCTCAATCAATTCACCCACCTCGGCCTCCCAGAGTGCTAGGATTACAGCTGTGAGCCACCATGCCCAGCCTTATTTTAATAATTAGTTTCTTTGCATGTGTAATTATCAGTGAATATAGTTTCTTATTGCCAAATAGTAACTTCAATAGGATTTTTAGATACTTATTCAGCAGCCTATATAACATAATCCCAAATGCTGAAGAAAATAATAAGGGGGTGTTCTTTCATGTTGTTATTCAAAATATATGACAATTTGCAATCATAACCTGTTGATCTGTGGTCTTATGTCCCACCACTTTGATGAGGGGCAGATTTCAGTATGCCTAGCAGGGAATTCTCCTAAGCCCACAGCAAAGGGTGCTTTCTATTTAGTACCTAACACAAAGGAAGACTTGAACCTTTTCAGAAGAGAATCTTTCATTCTTGAGGATTCTGGTCAATATGACACACAAGTATCTGGCTTTTAAAGGTGTAATTTTACACTAGAAAGTATGATTTCATATTGTGGTTTAATTAGTCACTTCAAGAAACTCTACTTCTTAGAAAAGTATGTCAGTGTTACTTGATGGCTTGTACTTAATGGAAAAGAATTTTTGGAGATGATGGAAAACAAAAAAATTCCTACCTGGGATCAAAATTTATTATAAAGTCTTTAAAAAATATATTTGAGTTCTGCTTTACCTCTTCTTAAAGTTTAGCTGTATTTCATGAAGGGGGGTAGCAAAGTCTGGTGTAGAAGATAGTATCAGAGCAAGTGCTATGTAAGACTTGACAGCACAATGACCTCAATAGTTTTGGAAAATACATTCAAATCAGTTATTTTCCTTTCATAATTTGTGTTGGTATAATAGAGAAAACGAGGCTTGTCCAAAAGACAGGGATAATAGAAAGTGGGATGGGACTTTCAAACCTTTGGAATTAGTGCTCCTTTCAGCAGCATATATACTAAAATTGGAATGATACAGAGAAGATTAGCATGGCCCCTGAATTAAAAAAAAAAACAAAAACCTTTGGAATTACATCGATGGCTAAAATTTTATGGGACTGTACCCATGACTTGCATTTGGGTTAAGAAAAGGTGACCAAGTTGATTCTTGATGTTTTTACTGGCTTGATAAGTGAATGAATACATATTAAAAAAGTATTTTAGAAAGTAATGGTTTATCCCAACTGTAATAACTTGAGGTTAGCTGACTTTGAATTAGGGGCACATCTATTTTGCAATTACCCTTTCCTATAACAAAATGCAACATAAATATTCTCTTTGAAAGTATCCCTGTTTTATATGGTTTGGTTTTCCAAATGTAAACAATTATAACAGCATTCAATAGGCACAGAGTAAAGAGTGATAGTGTTTTAACTGGTCTCTACTTAATTTTGAAGCGTGTCTCTGTCTTTAGCATGGTATGCACTAAGAGTACAGCAGAGATCCAGGTAGGGCTGAAATATGAGCTGTCCGTCACAGCAAAATGACAGCGGAAAGGAGTTTGAGGAATTCTGATCATTATAATCACTTCTCTTGGAGACTTAAAGTATAAACAGGTTTCTTCAGGAACATGAGTGGCAACATGGGGTGCAAAAGGGAGCTGAGAGGAATAAGGAAGAGAAACTGTAGGTGACTTCAGGGATTGAGCTATGGCTTTTCTGCCAGTTGAAGTATTTCCATGACATTCCCATTTCCTACCACTTGGGAACAGGAAAAGAATTTCTAAAGGTTGCTTTCAAGCCTTTGTTGTCTTTGTGTAATAATTTATTACTCAGTCTGCCTCAAAATTGCATCTTCTCACATGACGTCCTGTTTCCATTATTCTTGAAACCCACATCTAAAGTCCTAAAGAATCCTCCCACTCTGCCCATCCTCACCTGCAAGGCAATTGCTCCCCTTTCGTTCCAAACTAGTTCCTTTCAGGAAGTTTCTCTGCATTAGATGGGATAAGGGAAAGATGCTTTTACTATTCAGGCTCATCATGCCCGTGAAATTTGTATTAAAATGTGAAATCAATAATGCTCGTCCTTCTCACAGAAAGGAAAGACCATTAAATTCTATTAAAAATACAAATTCACATAAGCCAAGTGTGTTGAAACCTAGTTGATTGAAGTGGCTTTAATGTTCTTTGAGCTGGTAGTCATCATAACATCCAAACATTTTATAGAAGAGATTAGTTTCTTTTAAATGCTAGTTGTAGGAGGATAATTAGGCAAAGAAAAAAAGTTGCCAAATGTGCATTTCCTTTCCACATTAGAGTGTAGAGAAGGCTCTATACAGGTTATTTTTCATTCTTTCTTTTAAGCCACTGCATAGCTGGTGGAATAGCCTGGAGGTCTGAGTCGCCGTAACCACGTGCACCAGGTCCTGTACTCATATGGCTGGATAATATTTTCAGATATTTATGGTGTTCTGTGTTTTAATCTTTCCCTTTCCACTTTCCATTCTATCTATCCATTTAAGTCTGTAGCAAGGTCCGTGTGTCCGTGCCTTGAGGAAGGTACGAATCTGGGAGGAATGCAGAATAATCCTGGTACTTCTTGTGCTTTTATATTTCCCAAAGTCAAAAACATAAGACAGGATAAAGTCTGAGGAAATCTGCTTAGAGAAGCAGAAAAGAAAGAGATAGAATCCTGCAGCTTAAAGAGACCCCTTCCATCCCCCCCCCCAAACCTGGGCAAGAGAGACCTGGCTGTTGGCCACATCTGTCAGAAGAGTTGTGCATTGTTTCCTGGCCTCAAAAGAAAGACCTGATACCCTTCAGATCTGGGGCTCCTGGCCTCACTGGGGTTCCTCTGCTCTGTGAGGCAGGGAGGCACCTGAGTGTCAGTTGGAGGTCTCAGAGAACCACTGCAGGCTTGGCCGACAAGGATAGCTAGAATGACCAGAACAGATTGGAAAGTAGAGATGTTATTTCCTGAGGTACGATGATCAAATATTGATAAAACCCTGGAAGGGGGAATAAGCCCAATAATGGGCGATATCTTACCATCCTAGTAGGTTAAGGATGCAGAAGTTGGCTCATTCATTTAACAAGTATTTGTTAAAAGTATTCTGTGAGTCAGGCATTGTTCTAAGGCCTTAGGACACATTGATGGGTCAAAGAAAAATGCCTGCCCTCATGGAGATGAAATTGTTCTATGAAGTTACGTTTCTCTGAACAGTCCTGTTCTTCACCCACATTCTCTTTCTGATCAGGGCCTTCCCACCTAACCTGGAGCAGAGAGAAGACTCTCTACATAATTACGAGAACATCGCAGATATTTAGAGGGACTGCGCGGAGAAACGTCTGTTAGAATATGACCAGGGCCGGCAGGGCTCACGCCTGTAATCCTACACTCTGAGCAGGAGGCGGCCGATTCTCCAGGTCAGGAGTTCGAAACCAGCCTGAGCAAGAGCGGGACCCCGTCTTACTAAAAATTAGATAGAAATAATGGCCAACTAATATTTAAAAGAAAAAATTGCTGGCATGTGCATCATGCCTGAGTCCCATACTGGGAGTCTGAGCAGAATTGCTTGTAGCCCAGAGTTTAATTTATGACTAGGCTGAGCCACGGCACCACTCAGCCTGGCAACACAAGACTCTGTCTCCAAAAAAAAAAAAATAGCACCCAGGTAGACGATCACCTGCACGAGGTTGGGATTACGGTAGAGTGAATGCAAACAGTTCCACCCCTTTCACTCTGCAGTTGTGTCTCCCTTCATAATTGCGCACTAAATTTTCTCCCTAGCAGAACCCTTCCAACACCCTCACTTCTTGCTCGGCTTTGGGGAGCCTGCATCCTCACCAGCACTTTGTCTCCCAGGCTTTTTGTGAGGACCAAGGTTCCAGGGCGATTGCAAGCAAATGCAGGCTTGCCTGCTGTGCTTATGTGAGAAAAACAGCTAGCCCTATAGAAACAGGATCTCAGAGACATGGGTTGTGATACATTTCGAAAAGCTTAGTTCAAAAGGATAATGTCTTTAGTGAAGATAAATTTTGGAATTTTCCAATTTTTTAAGTTACCTTGGTAATTTTATGGTCTCT